CGTATGTATATAAAATCACGAAGTGCCAGGGTTCCCACTATTCTCTCCAGGTCTAAGTTCCTATATTTAAAGGCAAACGTTTCTTCTCCGTCACTATTCATTTTCCTTTCCCAGCCATTCCGTACCATTCTTCTTAGTAAACCAAACCAACAGGATTCAAGCTTTTTCAGTTCATCTTCATTTGGTAGTTCAGCCTCAGTACAGTAAGTAAGTCTGGATCTGATACAGGATTCCAAGAGTTTTCTGCGTGTATTCATAGATACTTTATGATCTGTAAGGACGTTCTTGAGCTCGTGGAGCTCGTTTTTCACCGGTTAAAAAGTTGTACGTTTAGGGGTTCCATTCACAGGCGGGAACGAGTTATCCGGACAAAGCTTCGTACGCCTTGCCGAGCAAATTTGGATCCGGTTCCTTGTAAAAAGAACGTATTTTTTAAACAATATAGACGGTTCTGTGTAATCGCAGTCTATATCCGTAGTTTTAGTTTTAAAAAATAGGAAAACGACTTCTGTTTTGTTTTATCTTATTTTATTTTCTACTACGCGATTCTTTTCAGCTTAAAATCTCACTTCAGCTTCAGTTATGGAATTTTGGATATTTTAAAAATATGTTGAAACTACTTTCTATAAAAAGTCCTCTTTACTGTCATCAGTAATGCGCTGTTTTGTCAACGGAGCAGAAATATATATTGATTTACAAGTTATTTTTATTTCGAAAACTAAAACTTCTAGACATAAATAGAAAATCAAATAATAATAATCTAATAATATTGAAAATTTCGAAATGACAATTTCTTAATAAATGAAAAAAATAGATTCTTTGAATTCTTCACGTGATTACCTCTTGATACATGACAATTTCCTAAGATGAATTTGCGAAATTGCAAATACAACCGTCATGAAAATATTAAAATACGACCTTGAAACCTTGCAAAAGATATTTCCACAGAGTTATCATTATTAGTATTTAAAAACAGGATAAAAAACGAGTTTTTTCCAGGTTATTCACGCCTAGAAACAGAAATTAGGATTCAATTCACCGACCAGGTGTCAGCGTACGCTCGAGGGACCTCAACCGAAACAGTAACTTTAATCATTATCATGTATCATAACTTATGTGATATGTTGTATGTAATGTTTCCTTTGATTTTCTTCGCTCTAAAAACTTCAAACTAAACTTGTCTTAAGATTATTGAACAACTAAACTATGCATTACAGTCTTTAATTGATAAATATATTATTATCAAGTGTTTTTTTATAAAACTCGTAGTCGACTGTCACATTCAAAGTTACAGCAGAGTGGTTGAAAGTGCATTACATCTTAGATGAAAAATTCGCGCTATCCTTTCAATAAGATTTCGAGCTTCTTTAAAAATGTTTAACTCCGTAAATTCATGAAAATTTTCGTTTTAAACAGCCATCCAACACGGAAATTTTATTTAATAGTTAGAAGTGCAAAGAAAGGTTTGCCTTTTCTATTGCTCGTATAAACACTAAGTTCAATTGTGTGAAATACGGTTCACAAAACTCAGAACTTCGCAAAAAAATCTCGCTACTTTCTTGAATAATAATTGGTTGAAGTACCTAGTACGCTTAACGATTATTTTAGAGCGTTAGCTTAATTAAAAATCTCGACGCCTCTTCTTTTCTTACTAATATAATACTTGATTTAATTACGAAACAATGGAGCACCAAATTTGTTGGGGCTTTGGTCACTGCCGAGGAAGCCATGCATGGCAAGGAATGCGATGTAACAAGAGGAAGTTATTTAAAAGTCGTCACGGGTTTTTGCCTGCTTATTCGGGGTTAACCAGACTTCGCAAGATTATTAATGAAGCAAAAAAACTTGACTCACTTGGATTCGCATGAGATTGTCGGATTTTTTGCTGTGACATTCTATTGCCATGATCTCGTCGAGAAGTCACTGGGAACTCCTTTGATGAGGAGGCGTGTACCTCTTACCAAGCTAAAATACAAACCTCATTAACTGTTGGTTCAATGCTGCTTGCTGTTGTTAATGTCTCGTTTGTCAAAACCTTTTAATTTAGATGTAATCAGATTATTTCCCGTATCGACTAACTCGTAACTATCGTAGTGTGGTCTAGAAGGGAAGGTGTCCCACTATTTAAGAGTGGTGTTTAAGTCATCCTTCTTATTAACTCGTTGCGTTTAACTCGCCAACGCAGTCCATACTATAGCATTTATCTTTTTTTTTTTCTTTTTTCTTTTTCTTTTTTTGTGTATATACATTTTGGGCATGTTCAGAAAATCCTGAAAACGAGTTTGAGAAACCAAAACTTGGCTCTTTCAGTCAATCAGGATCCCGCACCTTATGTCCCATGTTACAACAGTATAAAGGGGTTTAACGGCAGCCATGTTGTGGGACAAAACAATCAAAATTTCTCCTTTAGAAAATGAAATCTTTCGTTGCTCTTGTCCTTCAACATGGCTACCGCACGTGAAACGCCCATAACATTGTTTAACAGAATTTTAAACTATTTCCCTTTTATTCTGCACACAGGAAAGCTTTCCAAGGTACATGCAAAACAAAAGCACGAGAAAAAGACAAGGAATATTGACGAGAATCAGCGAAAGGGTTCGTCGTCGAATGAAGGATTTTCCTCGTCATTAAATTTTAAAAGACGTTCAAACGATGCAGAGGTGATATCAACATTGTCATCAAGAACGCGATCAAGGACAAATGGTATCCCTTTAGTTAAGGGTAAACATGAACTTTCGCAAAGGTCTGTTGGTGAAAGACCTTTTCTTGAACTTCCTTATTTGTGGAAAAGAAGAAGAAAAGCGAACCAAAGGATTCGAAGAGATGTGATCAAACATGAAAGTATTTTAGGGGGACATTTTGCAATTAGAAACTATGATGCAGAAAATGGACGAAATAGAAGGGATTCTTATTTTGATAAAAACATTAAACCATTGGATAGGCAAAACCGAGAAATGCAAGACGATTTGCCTCGTGAAAAAGAAGATGAAGCTATGCTTTCTGATAGTGATATGGAATCCAGTCAAACTGTTTATTCAGGTTCGGGAAATGAAGAAATAAATAACGATATACAAAATAATAATGGAAGAATAGAATCCAGTCAAACTAGTTTGTCTGGTTCAGGAAGTGACGTCAGGATGAAGAGCCAGGAAGTGCTCCAACGTTACAAGCGCAACTTTGATGATGAGGATGAGGATGATGATAGTCATTCGTCGGATGATTCATTGCCATTCCTTGGAGAAAATAAAATGAAAGACGAACAACAAGATAATGAATTGCAACGTTATAAGCGCAAACTTGACGATGATGATGATGATGTATCATCAGCTGATGTCTGGTCTTCAGGGAATGGAATATCCCATCCACCCAGCGATCCTTATTCGGGGTATAACGACCAAAACGAAGACAGCGAGGAAGGGAATTCTTTAAGGAGGTACAAGCGAAAGGCAGTAGAGCCAGAAGAAATGGACGAGTTGAGTAAAGCCTTGTCTTCGGCGTCACCCTCAAAACGTTCTTTGGAAGAAGAAGAAGAACTAGGGTCTGGGGTACCAGACAGGACTAGATCTACAACCAAGAATATACAGTCATCATCATCTTCGCCATCGACATTATCATCATCTTCATCGCCGTCATCTTCATCAACATTGGCACCATCATCATCAACAGCAACGTCATCGATAGCAACATCATCGTCATCACCATCACCATCCACAGATCAATCGCAGGTAAAATCAGAGAACAACTCTAAGAAATCTAAGAAGAACATTTCTTTGCCAGTGAAGAACGCGGATGCTTCTCCTCAAGAAACGTCTTCATCATCGTCAGCATCCATATCAATATCATCTCTACCTCCTCCACCTCCTCCACCACCTCCTTCATCAACATCTTCATCATCTTCAATTTCTGTTACAACGTCTTCAACAGGATCTTTGCCAGTTTCACAATCATCACAAACCTCGACAACCAAAGTGTCATCTTCTTCCACTACATTTCCAAAGTCTTTGGATTCAAAGAAGAAAGATGCCCCGGAAAAACCTGTTAAACTGGTTTCTTTGACTAAAAAAGGCTCGATCAAGATACATCAGGGAACATTGAATAAAGACACGAAGAAATCCTCAGCAGTCCCCCCTCAGGAATCGACGTCATCTTCATCTTCTACATCCATAACGATATCCCCGTTACCGTTACCGTTACCGCTCCCGCCACCATCGTCGTCATCAACATCCACTTCCAGTACATCCGTTTCACAGTCATCTTCATCATCGACTAAAGTTTCCGTCTCTACGTCCACTTTTCCAAAAGTAAAATCATCAAAGACTAACGATGCATCGAAAAAACATGTCAAAAAGACTACAAAGAAATCCTCAGCAGTCCCCCCTCAGGAATCAACATCATCAACATCTTCTACATCCATATCGATATCCCCTATACCTCTGCCACTCCCACCATTACCACCACCGTCATCATCATCATCATCATCATCCACCACGTCAACTACACAGTCATCTTCATCATCCACAAAAGTTTCCGTCTCTACCTCCTCTTTCCCCAAAGTAAAATCATCAAAGACTAACGATGCATCGAAAAAACATGTCAAAATGGCTGCTGCATCGTCATCCAAGTCACTGAAATCTTCATCTTCTAAAACTAAAGCTGCAAAATCACGAAGTACTTACTCTATTTCTCCTAAGAAAGAAAAATCCTTTCGTGAAAAAGCTAAACAAAAGAAACAGAGTACGAAAACTTTGTTGAAAGAAAAAAGAAATAAACAAGAAAATAAGAAAAAAATTGCGAAAGAAAAAGTGGATAGACCAACACAAAAGCAGAAAAGACAAGCACCTTACGAAATTGGTTTGAGAAACAGAATGCGTATTTCAAGTTATAATCAAGCTACGAGGAGTAATATAAGGCCAGTATTTGCCAGTACTGTTGGATACAATCGAGCAAAAATGGGCCAAGGAACTCAATATAAACCCCAGCAAGAGAGTGGACCATTTAGCGCACCTAGTTATCAATACAAACAAATCAATGCTTATAGACTTCAAGGAAGAAATAACGCGATGACTTCAAGTATTCAACCTGTAGTCAGTAGTTTTGGTGCTCAATCTGCGCAGCTATATGTTGCATTAAGGACCCATCTTCCTCTTAGGAGCGTCATCCCAGGGCCGTCCGTACACTTTGGCTTTTCTCATGATCAACCACGATCTTTTATCCCTCCTACAAACTACGCGAAACCAAATGGTGTCAGACCAGGCTATCAGCAGATTCGATTTCCAGGAAGAACATACAGACCTGCGTATGGTGCACAACCAACCATCCCTGATAGATTCCAGGACCACGGTGGTAGCGTCCTTGCTGCTCAGATGAAGTCACTTAAATCTCAATATAAAAATATGAAATATACTCCTACGAGGCCAGATGAAGAAAAGACAAACGTTGGACAAGGTTTTGAAGGTAATTGGACAAAATTCCTCGTTTGTACTTTACGTCATCGCCGCCTTGTTGGTAGTATTTAACAAACGACTTCTGATTTGCTTCCATTGTTAATACCACCAACATGGCCGCCGTGTCTTCATTTTCTTAATCTTCTCGAGAATGATTGGAAACCAGGTTCTTTGAAAAATACGTTGCGAATTTGCTGTGCCGTGACCGTGACGATGCCAAAGCCAACTATTTTGATTGGACGACCGATTAACTGATGTCAATTCTGTGTCGTGACTGTGACGGTACCGTATCCGAGCATTTTGATTGGCTAATTAGTGATTAATGACGTCATTTCCGTGCCGTGACCGTTCCGTGTGCCGTGATTTTTCATAATCATACGAATTCTCCTCTAAATCGAAGTCGAAATATTTTCCTGACAATACACTTTGGTAAGGGGTCGCAAAGCATCTCTCAATCCCGAGCGTAAGATGGACCTCGTAATTATATTATGGGATGTCATTTAGGTAGATTTCTAATTTGTTGTGTGATTGATTGACAGGAAAGTCATGTAGCTTTCCACTAGGCATGCAGGATGGTACCATCAAAGATGAGCAGCTGTCATCGTCTAGTGACTATTCGATGTATCACTCTGCAGCGAGAGGAAGACTTGGAAATACTCCAAAACAAAATGGTGAGGACATTGAAAATGATATTAGAAAAAAAGCACAAAAATGCAGATAAAATAGGAAGAAATATAAATTAAAGTAACTGGCGACTTAAGTGAACAAAGGAGGAAGGGTAGGAATTAAGAAAGTGGGAAAAATTGGCAGCAAGAGGGGAAAAAAGGAACTAAAATGAGACTACAAATGAAGTAATGGAGTAAACATTGATTCAATCGAACCCCGCAAGCAGTTCTGGGCTGATTGAAGTCACAGCACGGCTAATTCACTGATAAAAACATAGAATAGAAGTTGAACCAAAAGGTATAAAAAGTTGATATTAATATTATCCCTTCTTGTCACAAGGTTTTGCGGGTGCATGGTGCACTGGGACCAAGCACATCGATAGGGCCCAGTACCTCCAGATTGACCTTGGTCAGCGCAGACGAGTATGTCGCGTGGCTACTCAGGGCATGCCAGAGTTTCCAACATGGGTCAAAGAATATACTTTGGAATTTAGTAACAACGGCCATATATGGGCAGACTATACTGAAGAGGGACATGAAAAGGTATCGTATATGGACACCAGAAGGATATTGCCCCTTGGGTACTTCTAAGGATTACTTGAGGGGGGCCATGTTGGATGGTAGAACAATCATAGATGCAACATCTGATGATGTGTTTGTTTCCTTGGTAACGTATCCAACATGGCTGCCATCACGTGATCATGCTTTTAGATTATTTCATAGGTAACAAATTCACGATTTCCTGGTTCTATTTTTAGCTTTTCGATGGCAATACAGACAGTACTACACCTGTCAGTCACTCTCTAAAGCAGCCAATCACAGCTCGGTTTATTCGCTTCAAACCTCAATCCTGGAACGGTCCAAACATATGCATGCGAGCCGAGCTCTACACTTCCACAGATCCCGGATTGAAACCACGTGATCGAATTTCAAAGCAAGGATTGGTCGTTTATCTGAACTTTGATAAGAGCAAGGAAACATCTACTGATGATAGGCGCACTGAAATATCTCGAGCCCCTGGCGTCTGTGGTGACGTAGCAAGCCTACGTGACGGGAAGACCATCTTGTTAGATGGGCGAAAAATCCAGGTCAGTTTTTTTCCACCATAACTGTCCCAAATATTTATTTTCATTGACGTTCGTGCTGGAACCACAGGAATAACATTGCATTGTTTTCCACGCGTATTGACATACTTGGTTTGTTGGCCTGTGACGAGAGTTATTTAGAAGAGTAGGGACAGGGCACTACTTCATTTTTCTTCCTCTCGTCTTAAATGACACTGAATCTGATTTCGTTTTTTGGTCTGATTAGCCTAAGCCACGTGATGCAATCACCATAGCAGCGTGGATCCGATTGGACAACACAAGTGGACAGCATTCTATCTTCGATACTGTTGGAGGTCACAGTAGTCATGGCAGCGGGCAGTATCACTTTGAAGTTAGCGATGGAAAACTGCGATGGTACCACCGTAACGAGACGGCTAACCAGATCTTTAGTGTAGAATCAGGTATTACACTCGTTGTCATGGAAATTAAAACCGGTTGAACCAGTTCAGTAGTTTCTGCACTGGGTAAAGCAAACTTTCGAACATGGCAACCGTGTCTCCTTATATTGACGCTCCCTAGTAGCAAACTCGCGATCTGTGATTTGCTAAATGGATGTTGTCAATTTGCAATCATTATGACGTATTTTTGGAAATTTAAATGAAACAGAAATGCCCTCTCGAACGGCCCGCTGAGTGATATGAAAACAAACTGTATGTATTATATTCACTATAATATAAAACAAATCGTTAACTGCCAACTTCTTTCGTCGTACCCTAGACGCAGTCGTCTCAGAAAACACGTGGACACACGTGGCAGGTACCTACGACTCTCATACGGGGATTTCCAAGGTCTATATCGATGGTCACGTGAACGGGCAGGCTCAAGGCAGCGGTTTGTTGTCTCAGGACTGGGACAGTCACGTGGGCATTGGAACACACAAAGATTCAAGGTTTATTAATGGATTATTAGATGAATTTAGAATATATGACTACGCAATGGAAGAACCGGAGATAAAGAAACTGATGACACTATGCAATTATGCAAAAAGTAAGTTTGTTCATTGAGTCGCTATATTTTAGTAGGGAGTGTATCCAGGATGTCCCATTAGGGGGATCCCTCTTGGGGTATGCTGTAAGGGGTCATTAACCCAGGGAACCCACGTCAATAAGTACATATTAGAGAGTTTTAGATTGACTTTTTTCCTCCCCGCAAACGGCAAACGTGACAACGTTTTCATAGTTTTCCTGTATTTTACTTTACCTTTTGCAAACCTTCTTGACAAAGACCAGCATTCTTTTGTTTATCTACTACTTGGAGATTTTTGCGATTCCTTTTCACTAATTTTAAAGAATGTTTAAATGGTCAACTGACGTTTCACGTTTGCCGTGAACGTAAATCTAAAACTCTCTATTAAGTACATGTACTCAGAAAATATTTGGGTGATTTTACGTTTGCAGGTTGTGGGGGGTCGTTAGATGCGTCATCAGGTGTCATAGCATCACCCAATTGGCCAAGCGGTTACAAAGACGCAAAGACTTGCATATGGAAAATAACGGTTGACAAAACAGACAAAATTGCGTTGAATTTCGAGACGTTTGGTCTTCAAGAGGATGGCAACTGTGACAAGTCTAGATTAGTAATCAAAGATGGAGAAGACGAGGCTGCGAAAGAGATCGGGGAATTCTGTGGTTTGAACAGCCCGAGGTTAATGAGATCAACAGGAAATCACATGTGGCTTCAGTTCACAAGCACCCCAGAGGGGGAGGGCAAAGGATTTCGTTTGACATATCAAACAGGTAACTGCATGAATTACGTCAGCAGGACTGTCTGAAATCGAGGATGAGACCACGTGTTACTAATTGCTGGGTGTCACTTCCTGTCTCGAGCGGAATGTTCATCAGCTTAATCACAAATTGTAAATAGAATTCCTTCTGGTTGACAGCACATGGTGGTCAGTGTTTGGCCAACATTTGGAGTAGTTAATGAGATTCAAATACTTTTATCGTTGAAACCCAGCAATTATTAAAATCTCAAAACAACCAGCGACGACGGGTCGCTATTCGATTATCACAAACGGTCACCCTTGGAGAAATGTTTTTTGGTTGCTAGCGATAGAGGTTGGCCGATTTGCATAGATATGAATTATTGAAAACCCCTCTTTGGTACTTTGGTAACTGCCCGATAAATAGTCTTTGAGCTTAGCTTGAGTTTGGTCGCTTAGTATAGGTTCCAATTTTAGCATATTCACCTCTCTTTGTATTACAAGGGTATGATAGCACGTGATAGTCAGTTCCACAGGGAGCCCAAACTTGGCCTTTGTTTCATCTTTTGTGAGAAAAAGATAGCGGCTGCAGAATCGCCTCCCGTGTTTGTTCTACCGTTCAATTCCCCTGTATTCGTGTCCGTAGTGAATAGCGAGGAATAACCTGTGTATTCTCTCATTTATTTCATCAGAAAAAAATCGTCAAACCAAGAAAGAAGAACAACCACGTGCTCCCGACCAAAACATGAAATGTTCTGCGTCCACACCAGAGTACAACGTCACCCTGAGCGGTGGAATCAAAGCAGGCTCATTCAGCGAAGCGCTCGGCGTCAAGACCTTAGACATGTGCATGAGACAATGTTGTTTGAAGGAGTCTTGCAGCCTGGCTTTCATGATCAGTGACAGCTGCTACCTCGTAAACTGCAAGGACGAGGAATCCTGCAAGACCAAAAGAGCACGACCCTCTGGCATGAACCCCACCATTGTGTACATCACACACCTAAAAGAAGAGCCACACTCGGGCCTCCCTGAAGAAGGTACCTCACTCGACAATCCCCGTCCCATCCCCCCTGCGTCCCAGTGTCACCACACTGACGTCAGCTACAACTTCACTCTGGTTGGTGGAATAAAGGCGGGAAAATTCAACACCTTTGGACACATGAGTAGTATAGACGACTGCATACGTCACTGTTGCCATGACGATAAGTGTGACGTGGTATTCATGATTCAGAACAACTGCTATAATGTGGAGTGTGCGAATAATCGTGGCTGCCAGATGAAGAAAGCCAAGCCAAGCCCGTATAACCCTACTTTAGTGTATGTTTACAGAGGAGGTTCCAAACCTATTGCAGGTATGATTGGGTTACCTGTATACAGAGAGAGGACTGGGTCGAGGGGAGCTCGAGTGTAGCTACGACCAAACATAATCTTTTTCTTACATCGCGAACGTGATGCATCGTGGTCTAGTTTTAGTACAAACTTCTTTTGTTTATCATGCCTTAAATGTTGTTCGTAACGAAGCTAGACATACAAACACATACATATTTATTTTAGTATCATCATCATGAATAGAAGAAAAAAGTTAACAATGTTAGATAAAACTAAAATTGTGAACAAGCTATCTTAAAAACTAATAACGTTAGCCTAAATAAATAGCTAAAATGCTAAACTATATAGCTAAATAGCTAGACTAAAACACCTTGTTTATCGTACTCAGAAATGGCCTATGTAACCGCTGTTTTTGTATACTTTCCTTACAGAGCCGGTCAAGAAGTTCAACAGGCCTGCTCGGTTTTCCTGTCACAATTACCAGGTGTCCAACACATTACAAAATGTCACTCTGGTGGGAGGCATCAAGTCTGGCACGTTCACGGACAAGGGTGTTGTCAACGACATCGATGAGTGTAAAGCGTTTTGTTGCGCCGAAGACTCGTGTAATGTGGCGTTCCTTATCAGGACAAACTGCTTTCTTGTCGCGTGTAAGGATTATGATTCTTGTAAAGTCAAGCCAGCCATGTCGGATTATTATCGTCCGAAACTGGCTTACGTTAACTGGCACCCCCCGGACGAGGAAGTCAGTCGTAAGTAATCTTGCTTTTCTGTCATTCCTGCTAAATAGGTTTTTTAATTATTTTTAATATAGGGAGGGAATAACTGATCCAAGACTTTTGGAAAAATAGACCGATTACTACTGAAGGATATTTCCAGTTACTAAATCTCGGTTTATGTACATTCAATTCTGCTTTAGTTTCCCAGTGCAAGACTGAACATGAGAAATTCCTAGTTCACATTCTAACCTATCTAGGAACCTAGCGGAAAAACCATGATTTTCTTTAACCCAACAAGTTGTAAGGTACTGAAATTTAATCACACTCTAATCACAAGAAATTCTTTATTTTATTAGCGTATGACAAGTTCGCATCTCTGGGGTGTTGGCGAGATACAGAGTCGTTTGCAATCCCGTCCCTCGAAGGCACTGACCCGCGGTTATCAGAATCCTACAGGCTGAGAGCTAAACCAATCGATACATGCGCTAGTGTGGCGTTCAAGCATGGATACAAAGGTAGAATACCGAGAAGAAGGAGTAATATTCTCACTGAATACTCATTATCACGTCTCAGTAATTAAGTTATGGGGCGAGTTTCGCGACTGTAGTGATGATGAGGTAACATGACAGCGAGGAACACCACCACCAACAGGCCTGGGGGGGGGGGGGGGGGGGGCGCAAAATTTGGTTTCCAAAGTTTCGAACGACGTCGTTACGTAATAAGACCAAGAAGTTTACTGTGTGAAGTTAATTTATTATTATCATTATTATTATTATTATTATTATTATTATTATTATTCAGTGAGAATAGTAACCTATCTATTGTGACAGTAGACAATTTTCGAATTCGTAAGATACCGCTGTGTTCCTTCATTACAGACTCATTTACTCAGGGTTAGCTTCATTTTGGCGTCAGAATATTCACAATTAGCAACAGTAAAGTAAACAAAACAAAACTTCGACAATACAAACACTTTCAAATCACGCGGAGCTTCACTGGAACACATGAATATTCTACGTGAAGTCGAGGCTAACCCTGAGCAACAGAGAACTCAAAACTGGAGTATTACACGACCAACAGTCAAAATCCTCTGGATTTATGGCTTCCGTCAATCAAATGATGTCATAGCTCCTGTCATAGCTCCCTCGTCCTCGGGTTTCCGCTGTAGAATCAAAAGGCTTGGCAAACAAGAACTTTTTCTTTAAGCGCATCTCTGTAGGAAAACCTTTCTCGGCTCAAATACAACTTTTAACATTTTTTCCTTTCAGTCTTTGGCATTCATAGAGGAGGTGCATGTTTCAGTGGACCCAAAGCAGATCAAACGTTCAATATATTCGGAGAGTCAGCAGATTGTAAAAGTGGCAGGGGAGGGGTGGGGGCAACTGATGTCTATCGCCTTGATCACGATGGTAAGTATGTCATGAGTTTTTATCATGATGTATAAATGAGTAGACCATGGTGATGACGCCATTCAGCTAATGGTTTTGGAAATAATATTTTGGAGGGATAATGAGGTTGGGGGAGGGGAGGGGAGGATGTACGAGCTGGATTCCTCTGCCTTTTCGTCCCTATCAATGTGACTCAGTTTGAAATCGTTGCTTGTAGAGAAAGAAATAACACTTAAGAAAACACCACGTGGTATAGAGTAGATGAAGATTTCAAATGATCGGTTTTAAAACTTTTCAAAGCTAAGATTTGTTGCGTTTTTACTTTTTCAGGCAAATATTCAAAATTAGGATGTTGGCGAGACACCCAACATCGAGCACTCAAAAAACTCGAGCACACAAACCCAAGACTGAACGATTTCTATCAGACTCGCACCAGTCCTGTCGCCAAGTGCGCAGAGGTTGCTAAGCAACAAGGGTATCCTGTTTTTGCCATACAAGACGGCGGCGAATGTTTGAGTGGGCCGACAGCCGAGGACGAGTTTAATAAATATGGTGTGTCACGTGACTGCCGTGGAAGGCTTGGGGGTGCTTACGCCAACAGTGTATATAAACTGATAGGTAAGTATGGGGATTCGTCCGTCAAAGCTGAATAACTCTGAGTTCAAAGTTCACAACAACAAAAAAAGTCGGAAGTTGAATAAAATAGACTCAGAGCTGAAATTTTGGGATTTTGTGACCCCATAGCAATTTTTAGACGCCTGGGTTTCTGGCTTCTGTTCAATCCAAAAGCTGGTGACTCCAACTGTTGTTAGATTGATGGAGTACCAAAACACCAGAAAGCGTGTCCATGCGCTTGTCTGGATCGTAGAAGCAAAAAAGAAATGAAAAACAAGGAAGAAAAGAGAGGGAGATGGATATAGGAATGAAGCGATAAAAGAAAGAGAAAAGAGAAGAATAAAGCCATCTTTATGTCTAAATTTTTATTTCATTTGTAATTTTGTTTCAGGGAATTTTGATATTCAGAACGATGAGTTGGACAATAGCTCCAGTACGATGAACACGACAGAGAACTCCTCAAACAAAGACAGCATGTCCAAGCCTGAGGGGGGAACAAAACAAGTTATTGGTGACGACTTACCATCCAAGACAGGCACCACAAGCATGAGGGAAGACTTCGTAACATTGAAAAATGGAAAACCGAAAAGAATCGTCTACATGGCTGGAAAAGTTCAGTACAATGTTACCTTGAAGTATGGGATTAAATCAGGAAAATTCATGGACGAAGGTCAGGTTTCAAATATCAGTCAGTGCATCAGTAGATGTGGTAGACAACCAGACTGCGATCTCGCCTTTATGCTGGGCAAGCAGTGCTTTGCGGTCAGCTGTAGCTCTAAAGCACTTTGTATAACCAAGCCTGCATTTTCGCTCTTCTACAATCCTGTAATTGTCTTTGTGACCCACAGAAAGATTTACGATACCGGTAAGATATGCAAAAAAAAAAAACACCAACTTAAAAGTCCCATATTTAGGCATATGACGTAATCATACCATATATAGGCATGTCACAGTGCGCATATCACAAATCATATGATATATATAGGCATGACGCATTCATACCATATATAAGCATATTACGTAATGATACCATATATGGGTATACGACGGTGCGCATGTCACAGTAACCATACCATGTTTAGGCATATCAGAGTGCGCATGTCACAGTGATCATACCATATATAAGCATGTCACAGAGCGCATATCACAGTAATCGTTCCATATATAGGCATATCAGAGTGCGCATGTCACAGTGATCATACCATATATAAGCATGTCACAGAGTGCATATCACAGTAATCGTTCCATATATAGGCATATCACAGTTTGCATATCACAGTAATCATACCATATATAGGCATATCACAGTGCACATGACTCAGTGATCATACCATATATAGGCATGTCACAGTAATCGTTCCATATTCATTACACATTACAGTCAAATCGCAACAAAGACGGTGTCACGTGAGTGCTGTTCAGAATAACGTCACTCTAGTTGGCGGAATCAACGCTGGCAAATTCATGGAACTGAAAACTGACATGAATAGTGAAGCTGACATGAATGGTGAAACTGACATGAATACTTGTATCAAGTGGTGTTGCGCCAAACCAACATGTGATGTTGCGTTCAAGCTGGAGGGAGTATGTTACGCTGTCAGTTGTATCAGTAATAACCTCTGTAAGACCAGGCCTGCAAGGAATGCTGAGAGGTACAATCCCCAGATCGCTTATGTCTATCATGACCGAAAAGGACTAGACCGAGTACAAGGTACGTGTAAAAGACGATCGAACTTTATTCAATTATTTTAGAGAAAAATAAGAACCGAAATGGAAAGCTTAGATTTTTGCATTCGCGTTTAAATTCCTTTTCATTGGCTCGGTGTAGGAGATGTAAGACGCAAATCAATGTTTGAGTTTTTTGCGCTAACAAAGACTAATGTTTTGTTACAAAACTGATGTTTCCACTGAGTTTATTTTCTTACTGACAAATAATATGTTATTTTTAGCCAATATTACCGTAACTAACGTGAATACGCATGACCAGCATGAGACAAAAACTAGAGTAGAACAAGAGCATGCAAAGAAAACGACTGACAAAGCTGACGTTAGTTTCATCAATGACAAACACAGGAACGCTGGGACTGAGGGCTTCGTTCAAACCTCTACTGCAAGACAACACACGAACCAAAATACGGCTCACAGGATACTTGACGATAAGATTAATAACAATAGCAATTATGGTGGTAGACGAAAGCCTACTGCAGGACATAGCCAAAATGACGAGAAGAACTACAGTACCAAAGTCAAACATCTTAATGGTGAAACTAATAACAATATTTACGACAGTAACAAAGGCAAGGAGGTCGGTGTTGCCGACCATGGGTCGATGGTGGGGACGAATAGTTATCGATTTAGTGACGTAAACAATGGCAATGGCAACAGCATGAAAAATACGAAAATCAAACAGGAAAATGAGGACACCTATCGACAAAGAATATTGAATGATTTTGTAATGGCTGGTGAAACAATGAACCAGAACAATGACAAAATTGACCAATCACAGCCGGTTATCAAACAGGGTTTGATGAATACGGCGGCTAATCAAACTGACCAATCACAGCCCATTATCAAACAAGGTTTAAAGAAAACAAACGGCCAACCTGACCAATCGCATTACTTTTTCAATGGAGGTTTAACGAAGATATCTCCCATAAACGTAAATAAGGACGAGGAAAGTCCCACTTATGTCAAATCAAATGGCGCCAAAGAAACCAACTTCAGCATCCTTTCACCGTCAGCAGCAGATAAAAACCAGATGTCTGAACGTAAAAACACCAACATCTCTAGTTACTTCACAACCATAAGAAAGAACAAACAAAGAAAAGTAGGAAATATGAAACAGGTGAAGCTGGTGCCTTGGGGACAGAACAGCAGAAATGTTGGTATTAAACCTTTGAAGCATCTTTCTTTCTTCAACAACTTTAATGCTGGCATTAAAACTGCGCAAAAACACAAACATCCCCTTGGATTGGTAGCTATGGGGCCCGACAGTACAAATATCTTGAAACATGTCGCTTCTTTACAAAACAAAGGCGTCAACATTAAGATAAAACAAGGTCGTCACAACAATGTGGGTCTTGTGGCTTTAGGACCTAATAGCGGTAATGTCGTCATTAAACATTTGAATCTCAAGAGTTTCCACATAAATCAGGCTTCTTTTCCTGGACGTGTTGTCTCTATCAATGGTCATGGACTTCATAAAATCCAACCGTTAACTAACAATGACGCTTCCTTGACAACCAATCAACAAACGGGACGAAAACAAACTGCAGTTTCATTGGTCAATCCTGGACGACATCCAGCACAGAAAAGTTTGTCTAAGTATATTCATGTTCTCAATGCTCTTTTAGAATCGAGCAATACCAGTATCCATGGTGATAGCAGTTCCAACGGAAGCGTGTGTTGGGATGGTGACGTATTGTACAACCAGACTCTGATTGGTGGAATCAATGCTGGGGTGTTTACAGACAATGGCAAGACCACCACCATGGATCTGTGTATGCAGTCATGTTGTAAGCAGCCCGCGTGTGACCTCGCCTTCATGATTGAAGATGATTGCTATTCTGTTGCTTGTACCAGTCCCTCCTCGTGCAAGACCCGAGCTGCTCGTCCCACACAGTTCTACCCGAGAATCTCGTTTAGAAACAAGTTCAAAGGTTCGTAGATTCTATATTTCATTATCATTATCGTCATCATCATCATCATCGTTATCATCTTCATCATCATCTTCTTCATCACCTTCATCACTAGCACCATCCCAATCATCATCTGTTATCACTATCATCGTCATCACCATCATCATCTGTCATCATCACCATCACCATCATCATCACCATTATCGTCATCCTCACCATCATCATCTTTATTATCTTTATCATCGTCATCATCATTTTCTTCTTCATTGTCATCATCATCATTTTCTTCATTGTCATCATCGTCATAGTTATCATTGCCATTTTCTTTGACATTAATTATATTATCTATTGTTATTAATTTTATTAATCTTTTCATGTTATCAATGCAAATTTCATTATTGCATTAGATATGATGTCAAAAGAAACTTCAGGCTTAGCGTCCGGGACCTCAGCACCACAAGAACCATCGACCCAGTCTCCCACACATGCAGCTGCCTCCTCGGCCAAAGTGACAACAACAGGTACGTAATATACCCTTCTAGGATGATATTTGCCTTTTTGGAACGATAGCTTATTCCCAGGATCCCAATAAAGGGCTTTCATTAAAATGAAATTGACTAACCTGGTCGCTTTTGGCATTTAATGTTTTCCGAATTCAGACCAAGTGTCATTCTCTTGAGAATACGATTTTGAGTTGTATCCTTATTCATGTGTCTTATGCACAATCGTTAAACAAAGAAATAATACTATAGGGAACGATAGGTGGTCTGAATAACACGTGGTCTGAAAACACGTGGTCAGGCTAACGACGTCTATTAGGGCCTTTTTTAAAAACCGCAAACTTGTCATTCTATATTTTAGGTTCATCAATCATTGTGTTGTGTTATTTGCTACCAAAAACAGAATCTTACTCGTTTGTTTGCTAGACCAATGAAAAACCTTTATTCTTCGTTTTAGTTGCACCACGTGTCCAGCCCACGCTAAAAGTACAACACTCATGTTCTGCCACGCCCATCAAGTACAACGTCACGCTCCGAATGGGTCTTCACTCGGGACTGTTCACCAAGATGGGGCGAGTAGATTCCATGGATGATTGTATCGAGTTGAACTGCAAGCAGCCCAAGGCGGACGTGGCATTCATGATGGGTACCCATTGCTATGCGGTCCAGTGTTACAGCGAGGAACTGTGCAAGACCGAGCCTGTTTTTGCCACGAGTTTCTCGTTTCTGAATCTGAAGCCAGCGGTGTCGTTTTTAAAGAAGAACCCAGGATCCACAGGACATGATCTTGGTAAAGAAATCCTTACTTCTTTCTTTATATCTAGACATTTATCTGTCTGGGAGTTGGGAAAGAGAAGGGGATGGGAGAGGAAAGAATGAATGAAGGAAAGAAAAGAGTAAGGGAAGAGAAAATGAGATGAAGAGGAGGGAATGGGAAAAAGGAATAGAGGGTTTGGGAAAGGAGAGAAATGGGAAAGTGAGAGAAGGGAAAAGTAAAGAAAGAAAAAGGAGAAGGGAGGAGAAATTAAATGAGGAGGAGGGAAAAAGAAGAAGGAGTAGAGGATTTAGGAAAGGGAGAGAAAAATGGGGAAATAGAATGTAAAGAATGACGAGAGAAAAAAGTGGAGTAAGACGATTTAAGGTTTTTATTGGTTCTTACAGCTTTGCGTGAAAATCCTCGAGAGACTTGCCTTGAAAGCACGATTACTTATGACGTAACATTACGTGGTGGAATACACGCAGGTACGTCATGTAGACACCCAAAGAAATTACATCATATTTTTATAAATAATAGATATATAAATAATTATTTTACAACCATCACTTTCCTTACATGTTTTTTTTGTGAGGTTCGCACTGCTATAGACCCCTTGCTATAGATCCCTTGCTATAGACCCCTTGCTATAGACCCCTTGCTATAGACCCCTTGCTATAGACCCCTTGCATCTATTTCCTTTCATTGTCATTATCATTATAACTAATGACCATCATCATCGCCATCACCACCATTTATTACCTCCAACATTGTAAGTGAATATTGATAATAGAAACAGACAAACCTCTTACTGGATAGAATAGATATACTAAGATTCATTTTGATATACTTTACACCATACAGGCAAGTTCACTGAAAGGCCTCACGTGAACACTATGCGTAAATGTATAAGAGAATGTTGTGATGCTGATTCATGCGACCTGGCCTTCATGTTCGGTGATCGCTGTTATTCAGTCACGTGCAAGAGTGAGAAGAGTTGCCAGGCGGTACTGGCCAAACCTACCAGCCTTAAGCCGAGAATATCATACATGTCAAGAACCTCACCAAACAACGATGGTAAAAACTGTTTCGTTATTTCATGTTCGTTTTAAGGGAAAGAAAATGTTAAACTGGTTGCCAAAGACCTTTTCAAGGATAGCGAACATAGCGTACATTTCCTGATAAGACACCATTAAACCTAAGAATGTTATACCTCCAATATGGCTGGCAGGAAAGTTTATGCGCAAACTCCTGACGCTTGATAGTTGCCGTAAATTGCGAGGGCAAAACTTCCGTCAGTAAACTTTGAAAAGTCTAGAAAATAATTTATAAAAAGTCCTTGTTTTACAAGTGTAGCACTTAAAATAATACCCAGTTGAGGCAACGAGATTATAAATATTTTTTTCACTATAACATGCCACCCTTTTTAAATAAAGGATTTACTCATGATGTCAGGGTTGTGAACAGACCCGTGGCTCTGGTTCCACGAATTGCTAGTAGTAACATGACTCAACAGATTTTTTATTTCATTTCAGGCGTGAGTCTGGCCGAGTCACAAGAGGTTCATCCAAAATGCCATGCAGACGATATTTCTAAATCCTTGATTGCGAGGAACAAAACCCTTGCTGGAGGTCTTGAGGCTGGTACCTTTAGATTCCTGGGCAAAGTCAAGTGAGTGACCAAAGACACGCATGGAGAAAAATCTATAGGTTCTGAAATAAGCTTGGTCTTATAAAAGATCCTTGCCCTTGCAATGAAACAAAGGGTGGGACCTCAGGTTAGATTCGTGTACTAGGCATCACATGTGAGTAGGTTTCATTGCGTCTCTCCCACGAATCAAGAGTTTCTCTCTGGTTTCTCCAGTTTTCCTCCCTCCGCGAGACCTAAGAAGCTAAATTCCAAATCGATCAGTGAGATAGCCATGCCCTGACTTAAATTAGACCACTGAGATTGTTTTAGGGTTCATCCTGAGTTGGCCATGCTCAGACTTTGATCAGCAGCCGGGCAGCAGCCCAGAGGTTGTTTCAGGGCATTGATAAAATTCTGAATCCTCCAAAGGAAACATGAGATTGATCGTGATGATTTCATTTAGGTCCATGGGTTTCTGCATGCGCATGTGCTGTGCTCGTCCAAGATGTGACGTGGCGTACCTGATCGACAAGAACTGTTTCTCCATCACTTGTTTTTCTCCTGCACTTTGTAAAATCACTTCTGACCATTCCACTGCTAATGGCGATGTGGAGATATCAGCCATGCTGAAATCGGTCAAGAAAGAGGAATTACCTGATGAAGCTCGTAAGTAGTGAGGAAACCTACCCCCTTACTTATCTGAATATTGAGTGTTCGTGTGGGAAAAAAACACGTTTCTTTCCCATCCCATTACATCTTACAAACCCATCTTCTCAGCCGGCTCACCCCCTCCCGTACACAAAAACATAATACGTATGTATTCCTAACCCAGTATCCCAATCCACTTAAGTAAAACAGTTGACCTGTGTTCTACCCATTAGCACTAAAAAGTTCAATCACCATCCACCACCAGTCGCACAGCCCAGTAAATCACACAACCCACCAGCTTCACCCACACCACCCAATTCAGTACGCCCTCCCCTCCAGCAGCATGTATTGATGTTCTCTGTAATGATATCTAGATTCTGTAGTGGTATACATCATTGTCGGTACTCTCATGTTTGCTGCGGGACTCGGTGGCATTGTCTGGGCCGTCTGCATGTTTCTAAGAAGGTAAGTCAGGTGACGAGTGTATTGATTTTAACATGTACATACAATTTATAAAGTGCTAAGTGGCCTTTATCTTTCACCAGACAAACATCAAGGTAATACTGTATGTCATAGATGTCATAGGCCTGTTATAGTAACACACTCAAGAATTTTAGACACGTTTTTCTCGTTCTGGAAATCTCAGTTCATTATTTTTTAGAAAGGAATAAGTCCAATCTTGATAAACACTTTGTTGTGTAAGGGACCACCGTTAATTCCCATTTATTTTATTTATTTATCTTCTCCTTTTCAATTTAGACATCGATTAAGACAGCGCCACCGTGCAAGATCACCATCAGATGGATAATTATCCATTCATTTGGTAACTATCCCATCATGTATTTGTTGATTGACAAGACACATGTTTGTACAGAAGCTAGAGCATAATGCACCATATTTGCTATCTCAGAAAAGGTTTATGCTACACTATTACCCATAGTCTGCATACGTGTTGACCATTGATTATGCCAAAAAACGTTCTTACACAAATTGAACCTTGCAGCCTTGCATGATTGGAAGCATTCAATTGAACCTTGGTGCACGGAAAGTGGAGAGTGCTTTAAGGTGATGACACAATGCAACATTGCACTCAACATTGCAAGCAACAAATTTGAATTGGGGGAACACACATTGCAACAAAATCACGCAACATCACTTGTGTCAGCCTGCTATGTTCAGATATTTGATCAGCAGTTATAAATTTGGTGCAAGCTGATTGGCTGTAAATTTCAAAACGTTGCATGTAATGTTGCAGCCATGTTCACATGATGAAATTTGTTGCACGCAATGTTGCAAGAGTAAAGCGCAATTCAACTTCAGATTTGTTGCATGCAACGTTGCTTGCAACAAGTTTGGGGTAGACACGCTGCAACATTCCTGATGCGTGCAATGTTGCATGCAATGTTGCACCGTGTGTCAGAACCTTTAGTTCTTGTAAAAGTTCTTTTAATAACACTCTTTTCCTGGCATTAGTTTTTCCTCACAGACAGCAATCATAGGCAAGTCCATTTGTCAAAGGAAGAAGTTGCAACACTATAATCTTCTACCACATGATTTTTTATATTTCTCTCAAAATAATTAAATACTTCCTCTGCTGGATAGTGCCCAACGCAGAAGTCAGCCAATATGGGTGTACGTACTTAAGGGTTACTGAAGGCCCATTTTACTAGACAGGGTAAGACATATCTTTCCAGAATGTCTCCTACAGGACCAAGTGGTGCCAAATGGTAACTTACTTCTAAAATAAGCTATTTTTTCACTAAAAAATTCTAAAATCAAAAAAAAAAAACTTCATTAAGAGTTAGTTTATGATTGGTGAGACACATACAAATATTTTAGCAATCATTTTTTATTTCGATAAGACATCATTCCTTATTAGAATGTAATACATAGCAGGTTAATTCTCACTATGTTAGAGTGATTCATTTACCCCTTGAAGTCTAAATCAATCTGTTCACAGGTAGCCCAAGCTTGGTTTCTGTGGTGTCATGTTATAAGGAAATGTATGGGGATTCATCAAAAATTTCAATAAAATCATTGAAACATGAAATAAAGCCTCAAAATATTACCCGATCATTTTGAAGTAGTACTTCTTTCGCTCTGTGTGGTTATTTTTTGAATATAGCCGTTTAAAACGTTTCAATGATTTTATTGAAATTTTTGATGAATCCCCATATATTTCCTTATAACAGGACACCACAGAAACCAAGCTTGGGCTACCTGTGGTCTGCTCTGACACAAAAACCGCTAAATAAAGTGGAAAATGTTTTGACCTCCGCCTGAGTTTGTTCCAATATCGTGTTGGTTGGTTACTTCTAGCAGGAGTAATCACACATGTGTATAGCAGTACACGAGCTTTAATCAAGACTCAGTAATGACTAACWAAGGTTACWTTGATAACCGGATATATGCATACGTCATATGTGTACATATAAGATTACATAATGCAACAGAGTTCTTTCTCCCTCACCTCTTGTTATTCATTTATTCATAGGAAAACAGAATAGGTATAGACTAATGCCTAGTAGAACAATATCAATTCCAAGGGTTAAATAAATTCACTCTATAATTCACTAATATCACAGTAAGCCCTTATATTCACTAGCGATACAAGAACAAGCGATACCATTTACAACAGAATTTGCAGTGGAGTTCCATTATCTCAAATCTCCTTGAGAAGATTAAACATACATGTAGCAGAATTTTGAAGGCCAATTTACACAATACAATTCTTCCTCGAAACTGTCATGCATAATTAGCTGCCATTTACAGTTTCAAGCAAGTTGTACTGTTGATTTACACAAAGCAATTTGTATCGTCAGCATATATCATACGTGGAAGAACCGTACTGTGTAAATCAGTCATGAGATCCAGGGGTAAAATTGTAGTGATATGAGTCCAAGGAATGTGGAATCATGTTCAAGATAAGAGGAAGATCCAGATAACTAGAGGAATTTGAGATTATAAGACTCAAACTGTATTCAAAATGTCATCTATTTACAAACACATACATTAGAATAAATTTCATTAGACTACACACAATAGGAATCTTCATATCAAAATTATAGATAGAAAGACGTGATTCACTAAATGAATGTGAAATTTAGACCAAAGAATATATTATAAATACATTTGACGTTCACTTTTTATAAAAGAAAAAATAAAGTTTTTTAACAAGAATTATGATACACTGTTCAAAAATAGTTTTAACTCTGTAAATAGGCTTATTAATTACTTTGTAGGGTTGAATTTATGTTCTCATTTCAGTCAAAATATCATTTACATATCAATCATTCCCTTGAGTATTATTTTTTCACCTTTAAAACTTGAGAGGATATATTAATATGGGATGCAACTCAAGCAAAGAATCTTATTCTCTGAGATATTTGAAATGGGAGAACACTAAGCCCAATGGGAAAGAGACTGGCAGTTTTGCATCATCATGTGCCCATGCCCATAATACAGCTTGGACTGCCTGTGGCTAGATGGCAGAACAATAAAATTCCTTTGCTCTTGGGAATTGAATTCTTTCTCCTGTAAAGAGATTGTATTGTTCCTGGCATCTAACATGCCTGCCATCATGTGATGGTGCAAAACCTCTATTGCTTGGTATCAATCAACTGAACAAATCTTTATCTCAGTACCAGCCTACACAATAACAAATGAATGTTCTCTATCATGAGCTATCATCAGAGAGTATTACTTGGTATCAATCAGCTGAATGAATCTTATTACCACCCTACAATGACATACAGACACTGTCTCAAGCCATGTACAAGGAGTGACAGCAACCCATTAGTTCTTGTACATGCAAGAATTCCTTTTGTGGCTTTGTCCTTTCTTTACAATATTTACATGTAGAAGTCCGTACCGATATAGACACAGAGTTGAATTTTATTTCTTAGTAAAGAAAGATGCCATTGACTTCATTCCATTCTTGTTGACTTTTGATAAACTCTTCTGTGCTGCCGTCATTTTTCCTGGGGTCTGGAAAATAATTATTTCAGTTGATTTTGAGAATGGGATAAAATGGAATGGAATGGGATGGGTGGCAAGAGGTTGGGACTCATGATAGCATGGGCTGGAATGGGGGTATGAAAGGATTGGTTTAAATGGGATGGGACAGGATGTGTTGAAATAGGATGGGTTGGGATGGGATAAAACAGAATAGGATAAAAAGGAAGCTACCCTACTGTTACGACTTCTTTCTTATTTTCTTACCTTTGAAGTAGTTTTTGTTTTTATCTTCTCATATTCTTTAGAATAATCCTCTAAGACCGTCCCTGCATCATTATTTAACTTGGTCCTCTGTAACAGGACAAAAGTAACACATCAAATATGAGGGGACCATGGGTGAGGTAGTGGTGATATAGCACACTCTAACCACTGCGACCAGGGTTGGATTCCCGGACTTGTCATTTGTTATTTTTAGTTATGATATCATGATAGTATTGCTTCATTCTTAAGGTTCTTACATACTTGAGAATCAATAGTTAATTAGCAATAGTGAATCTGCCTTTCACTCCAGAGTCTCAGGATTGAATCTGTTTTTAAACAGATTCTTCAGTTTTCCTACGTCTGATGTTAATAAATAAAGGATTCCTTACTTTGCTAGGTGGTTCTTCTGGCGACGACAGAACTGTTTTTTCCTCTGGCAAACTGTTAATGAAGAAATGGAAAAAATTTAAGTACTTCAAAAATTATTTCAAAAATAGGACTTAAAAAATTCAAGATATTTTTACACAGGTTGGAAATTTAGACATTCATTTATATAACAAAACTATAAATGTAGGTATATTTTTATAAAGCAACTCACTTTAATGCAGCCTGTAGCTTGTCAGCCCATGAAGAGTCAAGATACTGACACACGATGCCACAAGAATATCTGAGATAATCATCTGGAAAAAAAGAAAAAAAAAACAAATGAAAAAAATGCATAAATGAAAGATTGTCAAGTAATCGCAGCCCTACCTCTAGTTACATTGGACTGTAACTTGCTACGTACAAATGTGGCACTTTGGGAACCTTTGCTCACGTTGATTTTTGAAGACTCTAGTTTGTCTGCCACACATTCCACCTGAGGTTAAAAAGATCATATATCATCAGTACAACACAGATCTGATTCTTAATTTAATTGTCTATACTAAACACTTTACCATCCAACATTGAATGTAGTGGTACTGACAGTGGAGTGTGTCATAAGCACGTATGACTATTAGTCTCTGAGTAGGGAGACTCTGCAAGGACTCCTTGTATCACAATGCAATATATAAGATGTATTTAATTCAATTATTTGTTTCAATGTTACCTTTGTTTTAAGCCAAGCTATTAGTTTATCCTCATTTAGCCTGTAAGCCTGTAGATCGTCATTACCTTTGCAGTCACATACATTACTAAGTACGTCAGATGACACACACATAGACAAGCTACTGACGGCAGGGTAATCATCATCCATTAGAACTTGATCTATTGTCCTGAACTATAAATAAAATTAATAACATCATTTTTACTTCTTGAAACTGCCAAACATTATTTCAGTTGCTTTTTCTCTGCTGTGTAAACTGGCAATGGTATGGTAAAAGAAAGCTTTTACCTTTGTTTTGTTCCTCGTGAGGTATGGTATACAGAGAAATATTGGATCAATTGAAGTGGTGACAAGAAGACTGCCATCTGGAAAAAAAATACTATTAGTAATAAATAATTTATCCAGCTTATACCCTTGTGTAGATTCTCAGATGGGGGGGGGGGNGGGGGGGGGGGGGCACATGTGTTTTGGACAACTGGAGTGGGGTATCAGGTAAATATTGACAGGTATCACCTTTAGTGGCAACCACTAGTAATTGGGGATCATACAGATATATAGTGCCTCTTGAGAGTCAAACCTTATGATCTTGCAACAAAAATCCTCTGACCCCCACTTAGGCGATAAATATGACTGTTTCCTTAAAAATAGGTAAATGTACGGTACCCTTTTGGACTGAGTCCTCAATGAACCATGATCTGGGCCCCTCTGCAAACTTCATAATTTCATACACGGCATCTTTATTTCTTGACATTAAGAACATGCATTCTTTCTCTGTTAAAAAATATTCCAAAACTTTATTTTTAGTAAAATGTGTACATATAAGTAGTTTCTTTTACCACTCCCTCCTCAATCTATCTAGCCTCCCCTCCCCCCATTGTCATGTTTTTTGTTGCTCTTGCGAGCGTGGACATGTTTTTGAGAAAATATCTCATTTCTAGTTGTTTTACTGCAATATTTTACCTGTTCTTGGGTGTAACAGCTTCACAAACGTTGGTTCATCGTCCTTACCATCTGAACTGCCGTTCAGAGCCGTTTCTGTTGAGGTAAAATGGCTTCATAAGCTGAACACAAACGCCAAGAAACATGAAAGAATTTATCGTAAAAACACGACCCCATAAGCATGGAAACATTCCAGTACACTACTATACGATACTATAATGGTAAGTGATATAATATTTAAACAAAAATCGTTTGAAAAATTAGATAAATTATTATTTTCTGTGGAAAATATCAACATGAAGTTTAGGTCGTTCAACATGGCGCGCTTCAGCGACCCCAACCAAATCGACACCACTTCGTTTGTCTTATTCTCACTAACCAGGAGCTATCAAGATCCATTGAGTCTTTTCTTGACTTGGAGATTTTTCCTTTTTCTTTCCTTGAGACATTTTTTTAATGTTAAAAACTTCACTACGTAAACACAAGAAGTTGAACAGAAAACGCGCCAAAAATTACTGATGCTCTGGGTATGTCCGCTGAGATGGGCTACGATGTGGCGTGGGTTACCTGTGGTATATTAAAAAATGCAGTATCCGCAAGTTTTGAGCGTCCTCTACTTATAGGAGATAAAGGACAGTATAGACTGCGAGTAGTCCCACTTTCCCCTCCAGACTTAATAAAAAATACTTTTTTGAGATTCCAAAAACACTCGCCCTTACTGAGTTTGGAGAGAAAAGTAGGATCAGTCTACCACCAGTAAAGGGGGGTCATGAAAAAGATAGTGCCTCTCTCGAGGTGATCAGTTTTAAATCTTTATGTTTTGTCGCACCAGATGAACGGAAATTGCAAATTTGCTAAGCAAGTGTTTTTCGATAACAAAGATTTGGTAAAAGTTTTCATATTATCCTTTTTTTTTTTGAGATATAATTTATATGATATGAACAATAAAGTGTAACTCTGACATCTATGTTTTGATAAACACTAAGTCTATTCGATCTGTTAGTTCTAATAAAAATTGAACCTCGATTGCTAGGTCATCATGAAATTCAGTTTTCCCTCGAAAATCGAAGTTAGGGACCGGTCGTCATTGTTTACACGGGGAGAGGGGGGAGGGGAGGGTGGGGGTTGGGGAAATGAGAAATGTGATGCTCAATTTTTTTTGGTCCCCCTTCATATAGAACTCAAATTTTAGTGATTTCCCCATCCGGCCCCTCGCAATAAACAAAATTAATTGACAAGTGTCTAACAAAAAAGGTTGCGAGTATCTATTACACAACATTTTTTGGTCTCCCATTTTTAGTGCACAATAATGTTTGTTCCCCCCTCATTTCCACCAGCTCCCCCCCCCCCCCCCCCCCCCCTCCTCTGTAAATAATGACCGGTCCCTTAGTGAAGTGTAAAAAAAAACGATGAGCTTTATCTGAAATTAAGTTTTTTGTTTACTCTGTCGATCTTGGATTCTCAGTATTAGCTACCCCGCATGCACGGTGGGATAATTGCAATTTGGCAAAGGAGCCTTTAAATTTGCCCACGTTCTAGGAAGTAATCATCAACGACAGCTTGACAAAAGTTGATGATGTTCATTTATCGAGTCTCTAGCGCTGCCCTCGAACTGCTCGGCTTTTCGGAGCTTAATGAATTGCAGCAATAACAGCGCAAGTTATTTTACTATGGCTAGAAGCGTCCAAAAAGTCACAGCAACCTTTTGTATTTTCATTGGAACGATCACCATCAGCGGCAATGGACTCGTGCTGCTGGCCATAGTCAAAAGCAAAACTCTTCGTACTCCAACCAACTTGTTCATCTCGTCTTTATCTGTGGCAGATCTAGTTATCGGGACGATAGCTATTCCCATCAGTATTGCAGGCACTTTTACGAAGCCTCAGTTATTTTACTCCAGACTGCATGTTCGACTTTATGCTAGCACAAAGTTTTACAGCGTCTACTCTTAATTTGAGTATAGTGAGTTTTGACCGGTTTGTTGCAGTGTCCTTTCCTCTACGATACAGAACAATTATGACAAAACGAAAAACCATCGCTGCTATTGTATTCATTTGGCTTATTTCTTTATTGCTTTCAAGTATAAATCTCATTCACTTCAAGCTCGCGACACAACGAAAACAACTACGTTTGGTTTTCACTGTCGTAATGTTTATAATTCCATTTCTCATCATCGTGTATTTCTATTGGCGCATCTTTAAAGTAGCAGATCGACAAGCAGTCATTATCAAGAGACAATCCCGAGTTTTTCAAATCCATATCGAAATGTCAAATAACCCCTGGAAAGAACGTAGAGCAGCAGTTACTATCATAATCATTGTAGGAATATTCGCAGTCTGTTGGATTCCTAATGTTATCATGGCTATCATCCAAGTTTGTTTGGAGGCTTCCAATACTTGTAATCCCAATAGATTCAAAATTGAATGTGGTTGGTGGGTAACCATGACAGTAGCCTTCGCCAACTCCAGCCTAAACCCCTTTATTTATGCTATTAGAAACTATGAATTTCGAAAAGCATACAAGAAAGCAATATTTGGTCGATAAAATGGAGAAACAAATCTTGTGAAGGGTTGAGGAATAAAAAAGATAGTGTTTGTATCGGACAGATACTCATACTGTGGCATGAGGACAATTTTCCTTCGGGTTTGCCAGGGCAATTTACAGCGCTTGAGAAAAGATTGAGAAATTTTGTTTATTGTTTTTGTTTTTTGTTTTTTGTTTTTTTGTTCTTTTGTTGAGCGAAATGATTTACCAAAAAAAATCAGTAATTTCAAAACGATTGAATAAAGGATAAATCTTTAGGAATAAAGAGTTTCTGATTTGATTTAAGAGAGCGCATTTTGCTAGCATAACTTTTACAAAACTCACAATATTGCGCTTAACCAAATTTTATTGAAGACATTTTTGACTTTTTTGAAAATACACAATATTACGCTTAACCTTTCATAAACCTTTTATCACTTCGAAATATAGATGTAAAACCTTGATTGCCAAACTGCCAGTATGGTAAATTAGCCTGGCCTTGTCAACAAATATATCTGTCAAAATGCCAACTGCAGATGTTTTTGCTTGGAAAAGGAAAACATTTGACAAGGTAAAAAAGGGAATTTTTCACTCAAGAGAATCCTAGCTGGGAAAGTTGATTTTGATCAAGGGGAAAACCTCTGAATAATAAGAAATGCTAACAAACAAGTCTTCCAGCACAGGGGAGTGATCCGGCTTGCATGGTGATTTGTTCTAATATAAACTGACAATAAGAAAAATCGCCGTGTGGTAGAATGCGATGACGCTTTCTTATTCACTAATCATGGAGCGGACTCATAATGACATCGTGTTTGTTTAGTTATCTGCGTCACCGGCAAAGTTCAGCCCCACTGCTGATGATTCCTATAACTCTATAGTTCTTAGTACATTTATTTGTCACTCAATCTGATAAGATTCTGAAAAATATTTTATAATAATACATCTCACTAATACCCTGTGATTGACTTTGTTTTTAACCTAAACACTGTTAGGTAGACTCTCCTTTCTACAGATTACATTTGCTTACATATATACCAAGAGAATACTCATATTCTCTTGTGTCAATGGCGGATCCAGATGGGGGGCAAAGGGGGACTGAAGCCCTCCTTCAGCAAAAAACAAAACAAAACTGAGAAATTAGATGCTTTTTTATTGTTTTCCGTTTTGTTGACCGAAGAAACTCGATTAGCCCCCACCCCCCCTAAACTCAATTAGCCCCCCCTTAAAACTTTGGCTGGATCCGCCCTTGCGTATATACCAACCTTCTACCAGTAACAGCTGCCGAAATAGCTCACAGATCTTCGGCTCGAAAAAAACCTATTTTCTGGTAAACCGAACAAACTGATCCAAGCTGTTCAATCACAACGCTTCACAAGAAAACTTAATCATACCTTTCCTGCTTCGACAAATCGCCATCTTAGAATTTACATATTTTCTCTAAAACTACGATGAACGACCTCGAAGACTATTTTGTTCGTAACTGGAGGGGCACACAATTTTTCAAGTAGTGTGTGGGTAAAAAACCGCTATAAAACTCTAAATAGAGGCTTTGCACCATCACATGCTAAATCCTAAGCTACATCATCGATTTTATTATTAGTTTACATTACTTATCATGATCCAGTTCCTGTGAGCCCTTGCTGGGTGCGAAACATATCAGTAAATCCATTTAGGTTTTAAAGGGCCACTTGGATGAAATCGCTAAACTCTTTCATTCGAGCTGGAACTTTGCTGAAATAATCTTGAATACATTAAGAACCAATCACTGAAATATCTTTCTGATATTCGAAAGAAAAGGGCCAAAATATTACGATTTATTTTCGTCCGCCATTAATTAATTTTTTGACTCACGGCCAACGAGTTATTATGAAGCTCTGGAGAAGGATGAATAACTCATTTATAGTTCATCCAGGAAGTTCTAATTATGAACTGGGCAGATCAGATCAAACCACCTGCACCGTCTAAATTGTCATTTACCACAGCATGTTATACTAAAAAACAATTTTTCTGCCACTTACCTTGGGCAGCCTCTAGGTTTTGTTATCCCGATTTTGCGCAAGTCGCTCTCATCAAAGAGTCATCAAAGCGCAACGACCGGACACTAAATTTCCTATTAATTTTGATGACCGAGCAATCTATCATAATGTCTGATGTCTTTCGATCTGCTAAGAATATGTGTCGTTTTAATTTCACCACAGACCATTAGACTGTTAACAGTCCCTCTTTTCCCTCCTAACCACCTCAGTCGAGTTAGGAGTTTTACAGTTCGATTTTCATCGTGAATACTTATGACCACTATGAATGTGGGGTTACTGAAGGGCAACAGTTTCTCTGTATTTTCTCTCTATATTGCTATATTTTTTAATGTGGTTTCTCTTGTAAAGGAGGAACTTCGAAAAAGAATGAAACTTTGAAGCCAAAGGAATGAATTTATTTACAAACGCAGACAATTTGTCTTCAATAAATATTTGAAAAAATAACTTTGGATATCTTTAGCTCTAGCTGCTTCATAAAGAGTTTTAATTCCCTGACTGATCCTCAGTCCAGTGGGCATTCAACTTGGTTTGAGCTTTTCTTGTTGTACAAGTCTGGCTTCAAATTTTTCGATGTCATCCATGGCTTGTCTTCCTTCTTCGTCCTCTTCTTCTGAATCTCTGAAAAGAGCGTAACTAACTTCATTACTTTAAACTAAGAGAGCATAAATCATGCTCTCTTGTTTAAACTATATAACATCTAAGATTTTATAGTGCAATGGTCAAAAGTACAAAGTTGGTCAATCTTAAGACTGGCTTCCACCAGAGCGCAAGTAAACTAAAAAACCGACAAATTTAGCAGTGAAGGACCGCAGAGCACCCTTAAAAGTGGAGGGCTATTATTGAAAAAAAAAATACGAGACTAGTACAGGAAAAAAATTTTGGGGCGGGGGGGAGGGGGATGACAGTAACATGACCGTGCATTATATCCCAAAGATGACAGTGGTCATGATAAGGTAATACTCACGAAATTTGAATCAGTTGGTCATGTGTTCGTTGCATGACTTTGCTTGAAATTTCTTCTTTCTTTTGATAAAAAGCAAAATAGGAAGTGAGATACAATAAAAACTTATAAACGAAGATAATTGAGATAGTACCTTCATTCGCTCTTGCTTTCTTTTTTGATTGAGATATTGTGCCTCTTTTCTGAATTCTTGCTGTAGTAAAAATCATAAAGTAAGCTTAGTAACATTTCAGCATAAATCTTATACGAATTGCTTCAAAACATCTAAACACAGTTAACAAACCATTTTTTCTGCGTATTCTGCTTCTTCGAGAATTCTTTGTCTTTCTGCGTCTTGCTTGTATCGATCTAAAGCTACAAGTATAAAACAAAGCGAAATGTCTTTGTTAAAGACCCAATCAAATATAATTTAATATTCCTCTTGGGCATACCTGGATCCATATCTTGTGTCTTAAAATACTCTATACCGTGGTGTGCGTAGTTGACTTCTAAAAAACAACGAAAGCAATTTGAAGTTCAAGCTCGAAAAGCCTAATATAAAGAAGATGCATGTGATTTCCTTGTAAACAAACCAAATTTTCCTACCGTTTTGTGGCTTTTGAGCAGTATGAAGCCGATGATCTATGCCTTTAACATTTAAAGCAGATTTAGGTTTAGCTGGAGGATAAATCGACTTCCAAAACAACTTTGCTTGCTCGATTTCTTCGGCTGAACTCCCAGAAAAACAAATCGTTTCGTCCGCCATCTTGGTTGCTAACTAAACCACTCGCACCAGTCCCTCTCCTTCGACAAAATAAAACCATATTTTTATTTCGCAAATAAAGTTACTTAGGAAGAATTTTGAACCCTCTTCTATTGAAGATGTATATAAATAGAGAATTGTAATTTTAAAAAATTGTATAATTTTTTAAAGTTTTGCGTGTTCCCGATAGAGCCCGCAAAACATCGAGATCCCGCGGGACAAAGGATTTCTAGTGGAGAGTGATGGGATATGTGATGGTGATGACGTATCCAAAATGGCGGAAGGTGGAGGTATTGAAGACGATGGATGGTAAAAATGAAAGTTTTCTCCTTTTTGTTCTCTTAGATATAAACTTTTTAATCTCAATTTTAGAATTTGAAATTATAAAACTAACACTTGGTCTTTTATTTTGTTTAAAATAGGCACACAGACTTAATTCTAGCGCTGTCCAAACAAAAGGATCCCGAGCGACTTCGTGAACTTTGCCGCGGACGTAAAATACCTGCCGAAAACAGAGCTGATATTTGGAAGGTAATATTAGGATAATGAAATCCGTTTTAAGTCCATTCCGTTCTTTATTTCCTAAGCCGTTCGTTCTCGTTTTCTTCAGGTTTGCCTCAACGTAGTAGGAAAGCCAGATGCTTTGTCAACATGGGATGGAATGTTGGATTTGAACGAACAAGATATGATCAGAGATGATTGCAAGCGACAAGCCGGTGTGTTCTGGTTGAAATATTTTATTATTACTTTTGTTATCAAGAACTGTTATTTATAGCCCAAGGATAATAGGGACCCCATGCAACTTAATAGCTTAAATTTATACAAACTTATATTTATAAAATCAAATGTAATCTCATATAGAATTGAAAATTTTTTGGTAGTCAACATTGATTTTAAGCTTAAATATGAAATGAGTATTTGATAAATTTTTGTTTTATGTTAATCAAAAATACATTTCTCGTTGTAATTAATATGCTTGAAAGATTTTACAAAATAGATTAATTCATTTGAATCAATCAGATGTACCTCACGTTTTAGTTTATAAATAATTGATGTAGAATTTCTCTTTGGGATAATGAAAGGGCAATTTCTTGTGGTTTTTATGCAATTATTGCAGTATCTCCTATAGAAAAACTCATAAAACATCATGGATGGTAATTTTGAACTAAACATTTTGCAATATTGTCTTGTACAAAAAGCTTTTCATAAAACATTTAACCACAATATTTTTACTCATATCCCACATCACCCTCTTCAGTGACACGATAGACATAGTAAGTAGAGGGGGACCCCTCTACCAACTATACTATGAACAACTAAAAAATGACTGCTTAGGGCCACCTGGAAATTATCAGTAGGGTAATGGTGTACCCTGTCTAATAAAGGTGTTATTATTGCTGGTCATTGTTTTGAAGGTAGGGAGGCTGATTCAAATAAGGGGTTTTATGCAGGGAGTGAAGAAGGGGCCATGTATATTTATGCAATTAAAAGTGTGCGTGCATGTAGGCTTGTATCCAGAAATGTTTTTGGGGGGGGAGGGGTGGGGGGAGGGCAGGGGTCATGGAAAAGATGTACATCACGAAAAGGAGGGTCAGGAAAAAGGAAACTTGGCATACTTAATCATGCACCAGCCCCCTCCCCCCCTTCTAAATAATGACTAGTCCATAAGAAAAGTTTTACCCCTACAAAACTCTCATCCTCTAATTTCAAATATGTTATACCTTGTAGGAAAGCTTCATTTGTCTGATGATGACATTGATGAAGTCGCTCGAGAAATGGAAAGCATCATAACATTTTACTGCAAATCAAGGAATGAAAAGTACAGAACTACAAGTGGCCTCACGGAACTGTTAGCACCATTAATGATGCTTGAAATACCCACCAGTGATGTTTATAATTGTTTTTATGCTTTGCTCTATAAATTTATACCAAGGTATTTTATAGCTATTAGTGTGTTGATCTTTTTAAAAAACCTTTAAATTTTATCAAGCCCTGAAACAACCTCTGGGCTGATCCAAGTTAGGGTATGGCTAACCGACAGATTGAATTGGGATTTAGCATGTTGAGGAAAAATGGGGAACCCAAAAAACCTTGAATCAAGGAAGAGACCCTGCAAACTCAACTCACATGTAATGCTGAGTCCAGGAATCAAGCCCCCTAGGGGTAAGAGGAAAGTGTATACTGGCAAAATGATATCCTTGAATCCCAATATCATCATTCAATCCCATCAGTCACATGGTTCTTACCACCATATTTCATGTTATATATGTATTTTTTTCAGGGATTGTGTGAGGGATGGAAAACCCTTTCATCTATTCAGACTGCTTCTACAGTACCATGATCCTGAACTATGTTCGTTTTTAGACTCTAGAAAATTATCACCAGATTCATATTGTCAAACATGGGTGAGTAGTTACTTTACATTATAGAACATAATTTTGATGGTAAAAGGATGATGATTTTTTTCTTTTATGATTTTGTTTAGATCCGGAGCCTAATGGTAGCAGTATGTGAAGATGATGTGATCCGTGCTTTATGGGACGTTTATTTACTTGAATCAGATCCTTTTCTTATCTTCTTTTTATCTTTAGTAATGATCGTAAATGCCAGGTAATCAGGATTATTATTTTACAATATCTATATAACCCAGGGTTTGTGCAATCACAAAGAAACTAAATATATAAACTTGAGAAATGAGTGTGAGATCCAGGAGTTGGATGTACTGAAGAAAATCAGAGTCTGTGGTCTTGTGGAACTGTCATGACAAAGAAGCTTTTATTGGACGTCAATCAAGGTGTTTCCATGGCATTATATAGGCAAGTGGCCTTATAGCTTCCGACAATGTTAAAGTAATGCCTTGTGATTGACGTCCACCAAAACCTTCTTCGTTGCGACAGAAACAATCGCTAGAGGGCACACGTGATCGAGAATGGCTGTAACTGAACAAAACAAAGTGTGCAAGGGATTCTGTAGTTGTAGTAAATCACCCTATGATAAAAAGAACCTACTCAGAGCAGTGAAAATGCACAAATTCTACAACTTTAAGATGTTATTTATGTTTTTTGAAGCTAATTTTTCTTAGAAATAATTTACAAGCTTCAGGGGGGGCATGACATCCTTGGAAACCCAGGGGTAAAATTCTGTCTCTTGTTTCTTGCTTTTTCTGGAAGCGAGCAACCAATGACAGAATTGTGCCCCTGAGTTCCCGAGGATGGCAGGATGATTTGTTTATTGTTATATCATTATAATATTTACAGAGATCAAGTTTTTGAACTTAAATCAGCGAGTAAAGCAGATATCTTAGGTGAGTTTCAGTGTTAGTATTTTATTTTTCCATATTTATCATTATATCAGAAACATTATTACAACCAGTTAGACAATCTTACTGAAGCCAAATAATTTATTTATTATTCCAGAAATGATAGCATCAATACCAGGCCAGCTAGAAGCTGATGATATTGAAGACTTTTGTTCCCTTGCTCAGTATTATGCAACAAGAACTCCTCAGTCTTTTAGAAAGGTGGGCCGACATTGTTACAAGCTATATCGGTATCACTGTTACCCCGGGGGGGGGGGGGGGTACTCTACCAGGATTTGCTTTTTTACGACCATAATAACCAGTTTTGGTCAATACGAAAGTAGAATCCCTGAATATGACAGGAAACTCAGCAAGAACTTGGAACTTGAATGAAATTGCATACCCTGGTTATGACAAGAAGCTCAAAAAATCATACCCTGTTCAGTGGATCATCCCCATATAGTCCTTATATGGGAGTACCCTCCCTCCCCCGGGCTGTTACCTCAACTGACTTATTCTGGTTGACGTTTTTTGCTATCTCGCAGACTCACTGCCACAAACAGGTATCTATTTCCTGCCTTTCTAAGATAGCAGGACCCTTAAATTTGAATGAATCTGGACACAAAAGAGATTGTTAAAAGCCGACTTTTGATATTCTGGTTGAGTGATCAAGCATAAGACAATCCGAATCAAGACTCCAAAACACAAGAACAAAAAGAATAATTACTGATTACATTATCGTTTCTCTGGAGCCTCAACTTGAAATGGTTTGTGCTTTACCACTCAATCAGAATATTGAAAGGTGGCTGTTCCACCATTTTCTTTGACTAAAGAGTCTGTGTTTATTATCTATCGATAGGACTACTACAGTCAGTTGTTTGGTGTAAAGACTATCAACTCTAACAGTATTTCACAAGCTCTTTGTCTCCCAGTGTCTGTGTCAGAGTTGCTAGGGGCCAATCAGTCTAATCACGTAAGTATACATAGTATTTGAAAAGCTTCTGCATGATTCGAACAGGATACAGCTTTCAAAAAAAGTTGGTTTTGTTGCATCTTGCATCTTGCTTGTTGCTTATACCTAGCTTAAAATATATCATATTTATATGTAAATAATGTCAGCACAGGAGAGAATAAATAAACTGGGAGACGTGCAGACTGGGACCTTTCACTGGTCATATTCACATCCCCCATAGTGCAGTTTGGGCTTGGTATATAGCATGCAGCATGATGCAACAAAACCTTCACCAACCTGATTTTACTGTCAGAAATGTAAAATAAAATGAAATTAATAAATCACTTTTATTTAAGTGTCTAGTCATTCTAGCGCTTTCTCACTAATTGGGGACACTTTTCACTCACACGCACTACCACTACATTTAATAGTCTATGCACGCAATGCTCAACTCACATAAGACTATCTTAAGATTTTTCATCTGTATAACTGCCACCCAAGTATGATCGCCCTACAGTTACCAGTTTTAGCTTTACTTGTTACATCAGTCATCTATTATTTCAACAGAAAGATGGGGTGAGGTTTTTCGTGGTTGACTGCAGACCAGCTGAACAATACAACAGTGGGCACCTACCAACAGCGTTTCACCTGGATGCAAACCTGGTATGGAATTACTTATCTTTTACAGAATCAACATGATTGGACTTCAAGTAAAATTGAGAGAAAAAAATGGGGGTAAAATTAATTGGCCTACCACAGGAAGCCCAGTAATCGGATTTTCAATTTATTCCATTTCTTCAACTCATTTTTTTCTACTCATCTTCTTTGAGATGTTACAAGCCCCTTCAGAGTTTGCAACAGCAGCCAAGGCCCTATTTGCCACCCAAAAACAGTCACTAGCAGCTGGATCAGTAGCAGGAGGGGAACACCTTTGTTTTATGGGGTCAGGACGAGAAGAAGAGGACCAGTATGTACACATGGTCATCGCTAACTTCTTACAGGTAAGAAGCTTGTTATGTAACAAAAGACTTCTCTTTTAATAAACTGGCGGCAAACGAGATTAATATATCATATTTTTAAACAATTAGTGCATTCGGTATGCTAATAGTTCGAAGTCTAGCCTAAAATTAGTAGTGAAGTTACCTTGGGTGTGACCGCGTTACCTTGACGACCCGAGATACATGATCACGCCATGTAACGAGATTGATACGCATCAAAACCATCATATATACAGCTGTGTACTCGTATTCGTAACATGGATGAAGAAGAGAAGAGAGAACTTGTTAGATTTCTGTTTGATAATGAAAATGATGACAGCTTGGATCATATTTCCGTGCAATGTCTAGAAACACCTGGGTTGAACAAGGTTTGAAAAATCGAAGTTCTTGTCCAACAATGATAGCTGTAGACTAGTCAAAAGAGGCAAAAGGATTTGTACGAACTGTCGTGAATTTACGCTTTCTTTAGCGTGTTTAGTCTTAGAGCTATTGTCTTTTTAAGCAGTAACGGTTAGAACCATTTCTCCATAATGAAAAAACTTTCAGGAATGAAAAGATGGGGAAAAAAGGAGAATGTGTAGAATGTCACGCAATCCAGTCACACACACTTCCTTGAATTGGGTTAACCCGTCTTTCGTATTTTTTTTGCGAGTTATTTCTATGATAAAGTTTTAACAAAACAATCCTTAATTTAACGGAACCAATATTTTCAATCTCCTGCTTCTTCTAATTTATTATCTATTTATTATCTTTTCTTCCTTATATTTTATTGTTTTCGTAATTGTCGTGCCACTGGTACCCGTAACGAAACGGTGTATCATGTCTTATTCTTTTCGATATATTTTTGGTTGTTTGTTTGGATAATCGTCTTTAATGTATCTATCTTTTGTTCCAGCGCAAAGCAAAGTACGTCAGCCTGGCTCGTGGTGGATATCAGAGTAAGTGTAATCATAAAATAACTGTTATAAATCTCGCATTCTGATTGGTTGGGAGTACGTGCTTTATGAGAGCACACACGCTCTTTTCCATGAACCATCTTCGTTCACGGGAGCCCGGCGGTCGTTGAATGATACCTTACAAAAAATCATGACCAACCATGCAATGATGTACAAGGATTGGGGTAACTATCTACATATGTAGTACTCACTGTCCATTCGTTTTATTTGTACACAGCTCTGCACGAGACGTTGTCTGATGATTTATCAACTGGTCTGGCAGATCACTCACTGCAAAGATGTATTGTATGCACCCCTGAAGCCTATTCTGAAGATGAGGTGAGTAGGTACCTTGGGTGTGGGGCAGGGTCTTTCCGCCGAGGGTTATTTTGAGAACGTTGCACCCGCGTTAGGTGAACAAGGGAATGTTCAGACTGAAGTAAGAATGATAAGAAAATAAACTCAGCGAGTGTGCCCAGCGAGAGAAACAGAAATCCTCTGCCAACCCTGGCTGAAGCGCGGGCACTTTGATTATCTAATGGTTTTCGTAAATAAAAAGTTCGGCGTTTTAAAGTCGTTCTCCAGCGCTTTCGCACTAATGGAGGACACTTTTACAATTACACACACTACCGCTATATTCAATGTTCTATGCACACGGCACTTAACTCACGTGTTGATTTTTAATTCACATTTTGTATCTTTTTGTTGATAGAGTTATCACGAATTATCGAGAGGAGGAGACCAAAGTCCGTCCGATGGACGAGTAAGTTGATTTCTGTCATTTTTTTAGGGCTTAGATTTCTTGACTAGAAAACCAATGTAAAAGAAACAATCACGGCAAAGAATTGACGAGTCATGTTGTATTGAGCCAATCAGAGCGCGCATATCATCCAATCAAATACTCGTACACAGCGCCATGACGGGCGCGGTACGGCAGTTATACAAAATCTGCGTTAATCTGCGTCAATCTTTTTAAGTGCGGTTTCTTTTTGAGGCGAAGATGATTATGCACTGTATTCCTTGCTGTGATGACGGGGAAGCAGGTCAGTGAGTTTTTGACTCAATTTGGCACGCGCACTGACGTTTTGGCTTTGCGATACGAGACTGAGATCTCGCAGATATTTCTTTCTTATACTACAAGTATTATGCAATTCAGCCAGTATTGGAATTCCCTGGTTTGACTGCTGGGTACCCGAATGGACACTTTTAAACGCGGCTGTGTAACTGTTGTTGTTGGCTTTGATATTACAGACTGGTCTTGTTGGTATGCTGTCATCTAAACTAATGTCCAAGGGAGCCAACGTTAAAGAAAAAATAGGTCATTTTATCGCAGAGTCAAGCCAACCAGTGGAAAGGTTAGTACCATCCAACACCTACAAAAATGCGACGTTATGTTGGAGATATTTCTTATAAAGATACTAGTAGCAGGGCCATAACCAGGGGTCTTGCAGGGTAGGTGCACAGGAAATAGAAATGGAACTATGTCTGAACTGACAGCCATCTAGAGAGGTGCTATAACATTCCAAGGAGTTGCAGAACTGGGGCAGAAAGATGAATGAGTGAGCGGAACTTCAGCTTTTGCAAGAGGGGGGGGGGGGGGGGGGGAACACGKGCACYTAGTTTATTTGATTGGTATTGGKGTGATTCTTAGGCATGTGAGCAGTACAGACAAACAAAGTAAACTATATAGAAACGTTCAACCAGTATTCAGCATAGACGACGATGACGATGAAGGAGGTAAGTTGAAGAAATTCTTCCTGAAGGAATATCACCAATTAATCGCTTGTCATAACCTCAAAAGATCACGCCGAAGGTTTGCAAAAAAACTGCAAGATAATACTGCTCTTCTAAAATTGACGCTATTATGTGGTAAAAAAAAAACAACTTCCGAGACCCGTTTTATTATAACCGGACATCGCTTTTACATTGGATTAGAACTAAGTTAATTGAAAACATTTTTAATGCACAAAGAGTTAAGCTTTATATGATTTGAAAAGTCTGCATAAAATACAATATTGTAATTTGATCTCAAAAAACGCGCCAAAGTAAAGGTGATATATGAACAAACGCCTAACCAACTATACCGTCACACAGCAGTGACAGTGACATCGTAGCACAGACATGGTACTAACAGAACGATGGTCAGGTAAACAACGCATTCTTAGAAAGAGCCTTCTGATTGGATAAACATTAATCTTGCAAGCTTTAATTAGTTGATTTTGTGCTGTGACCGTGCCGTGTCCCATCTTCACGATAACATGAAATCTGCTCTCAGTTGATGCATATTCACTGCGTGTTGTCACATGACTTGATTGCTGACGTGACTTAGCCTTTTAAAATGTTTCTGCTTCTTTAAGTTTGAACTTGTTTTTGTCATAGATGCTTGCAGTGTTTCAAGCTCTGAAGATGAAAATCGCAAAGAATCAGTTAATCTGGAGACATGGTTGAAAAGAAAGGACGTTTTTGCCTCATTTGAATGTAATGAGGTGCTTTCCCGTGGTCACCTAGCACCCAGGTAACAGAATGATCAAATTGAAAATAAATGATGCACATTGTATGATTCAATATTTAATATTGTTGTTCTGGATATTTAGCCCAAGATATAACCGTGACAATCTGAAAAGGTTTTACTAATGCACCCAAAACTGCCCATGATGCCTTGCAGTGCTACCACAGGGAAACCAAAATGTTTTTTTTTTCAAAGATTGTAAACTTTTTTTCTCTAGTTACATCCTCATTATGGAAGTCCACATGTATGTACTGCGAGAAATCTCTAAGCGACCTGGCTGGGCACACATCCAGCACAGACATCACCTTGCCGACATCCTTAAGATAACCTCAAAAAGAAAACACCCTGAACTAATAACATTCAAGTATGGCGCAGGCAACCTAGAGGACTCAGCGATCAAGTCTGCAGAGAGATACCTTATTCCCAATTCCCAGAAAGCTACCAAGAAAATCAAGGAAAGAATCTTAAAGGTCATTGGTGAATGAAAAAATGGTTGCAACGATGAATGAGTGTACTGACTAGTCATGAGAGATATGTCAAGAAAAGTAATCCATACATGAGAATATCTTTTAAAAAGATAGCATGAATACGAAGATGGGACGTCAAGTTTAGTGGAATAGTTATCGGAGATGAAATTAAGTACTCTCATACGATTGCCATGGGAAAACTCGAAGCAGGTTATATAGCCTGTTTTTGTCAATGCAAATGCCAGTATATTTTCTGTGGCTGTCATCTAGCTGCTTACTAATATTTAATAAGAACTAGCGTGGAGAGAAATCCACTTAAACATATGAACAATGATACGAAAGAAAACTAGCAAACTAATACCTTTGATGAAGGATAGTAGTGTGCAAGAAATAACCAATCCAATTATTGAACTCCACACCAGTAAAGGACCATAGCAGTATTCTCAATAGCCTTCTTTTACATAATTAGGGTACTATAGTTCTTCCAGTACAAACCTTATTACCCACTTTATATTCTGTAGATTTTGTTAGAAAACAAAAAAATCATACTAAATGGGATGATATAGTCTAAAAATCCTATCCAGTGGATATATTTATTGGATAACAGCATCAATAGATCCATTGGATAAGGAATTGTCCATTGGAAAATGCGATCCACCCTTCATATAACTGGGCCCAGAAGGTTATGTTGTAACCTTAGAATAAAGAGACTGATTTTACTAGATACTGTTATCACAAAAAGAAAATCAAAGGGTTTTGTGATCCTCATATTGCCAATGAAGTAAGATATTATGCTATGGATGCAGTTAGAAAACAAATGTATGAATATATTAGATCTCCATGGTAGTTTATTTAATGACACTAAATATTGATAAGGAACAATAATAAAATACCTCAAATTGATTTACACAATTTTTTGGGGAGGGGAGGGGGTAGGTATCAGTACTTGCAACACTGAAGGTTAAAAAGCAAAGGCAAGTATTATATGAACTTCTTTGTCAAAGGATTTTTTAAAACCAGGTCTTTAGATCATGCCAGTTGTGTGACACGTGGTCTACTGTATTGACAACAAACACTATTGGGCCTGGAAGAACATCCTCTGTGACTACTTAGATAACTCATTTCTTCAGATATCGAAGCTGAATTAACCCTATTTTAATAATCGTAGAGTGCACGCCATATATCTGTGGAATAGTGGATATTACTGGAACAAAACATCAAAGCAAATATATCTGTAAGCATCTTTGTTTGGTTCATGCCTCAGTTAATTTGACAACTAAATAGTTGATAACTATATTAAAATGAATGCTAAATAGCTAGTAATGGTGCATTCACATATATGTTTTGCACTCTTCTACCCATTAACAGTTTCTCATATTATGATTGGAAAATTGTCTGGTGCAGGGTCGTGCAAGTATTACAGGAGTAAAAAAGAGTAAAAAAAAGTAACGAAAAATAAATGCAAAAAACGAGCAAAACTTCTGATATCAGAAGTTTTCAATTTGCATTTCATGGAATATTTCATTTGCTCATATTCCACTAACACAATTATTGCAGGAGCATGATGTACAAACCGCATTCTTAATACATTTTTTACTGTTGTTGCTATAGAATTGCATTCATACTATGAAAGCAACAATCCTCTTATCATTGATAAAGTTCTTGGAATCAGTCATTTTGAATTCTTGTAGCAAAAGGTTCATTCTTTCTTGTTGTCTGATCTTTTCAGTGTCTTTTGCAGCACGTAGGCATCTGCTGGATCTATGCGCTTGTAATATTGCTTCTTAGTTTCAATGATTTCAAAGCCAAACTTTTTGTAGAAGTCAATGGCTCCTTGATTGCTTACTTGGACATGTCTGGCACAAAGACAGATAAAATATGTAAGGGATCATTGATTATTTATGTCTAGGCAAGGGGAAAGGAGGCTAGTAAAAATATGTCCAAGGTAGATGAGCAGTTACTTGAATATTTTCACAATCACACAGAAACATGGAGGGGGGGTGGTCATAATTATTTTAATTTAAGATGGTAACCACTTTTCTGCCAACTTTGCTGTTCCGTTGAGAATTGGATTCTTTGTTTCAGTTACATCCATATTAATTTATGTTCTCACTGGTAAACAAAGAAACACTACTAAGGGGAATGACATGTGGTCTAAAATCGGGAAACAGTGATTGTCAAAATAAATTCAGCTTTCATAATATTGACTTATTGACAGCACTGCCCTTTATGATCTCATCTATACATGTTCCCTATCAGATTCTTTTGTAATTCTACAAAATTAGTACTTACAAATAAATGTTGTCTATATTTCCATCCTTTTCACAAATCTTTAAGACATGCTCAAGCATAACAGTTCCTTAAAAATAGTTTCAAAAAATGATGAGATTTGATGGGTTACCTGTGGAAGAAATAACACAGGCCACCCATAGGAATCAAAATTCATACTGGATATCTCTTGGTTGGTTAACTAATGACTTCTTACCTATTCCTAATCTTCTATAGGGTGCTAAACATCCTAGAGTCATGATGTACAGGCGTCTTCCTTCTTCTGATTTATCCACTCTACAGCAAACTCCACCAACCACTATGTCATTGTAATATGCTAAACATGAAACAAATGTGGGTATGAGTCATTGGTATATTTCATTATAATTGAGTGATATTAATAGTCGAGATGAAGTATCCCTTAAATCAGATATCAAACCATCCTTTATGGCTATCAAAACACCAAAAATATTCAGACAAGTTATTGTTAATGATTTAATAATTATCAAAACCTAGAAAACCAGAGAATTATTTTAGGTGGAATGTTATTAAAAACCATGAAATTATTTGGCATTTCCTGGACATATCTATTATAAAGGTTATCTAAAACATTTGTCAAGAAAAAAAAATTAATCCAATTTTTTAAAAGAATTAATTACCAAGTTTTGCAAGTTCTCCTCCTTCAAGAACATCCTTGTAAAACTAGAAAAATAGAGAGAAAAACCTTTAGTTTAAACTCTGAAAACAAGCATTATTAAATGACAGAAATCTTGACAATTTTTCCAAGCAATATATTATTAAATAGTTGCTTTATCTTCATCTTTTAGGTTGTCTGGAAAAGTAGGGAAAAAACCCTCTAGGGGAGGGACAGGGGGTATTAGAATTGATTCTAGTGGACGTTATGCCTGAGAAGATACCAAACAATTGGGCAGGAACTTTGATGAGAAAAAGTTTCCTCGGGTCAAAAATACCCTAAAACTATCATGCCAATTAAGACTCTCCATCTGGGAAAGTGCAGGGAGCAAGGGCAAATACTGTCACTAGAACCTTATGTGGCACCTGTTCAACACAGACACAACATTGCTAAGTTCACTGAGAACCTTTCCTGAACCTTTTGCATGTATCTTGCTCATCTCTTGTAAATAAATGCCCTCAAGAAAACTATGAATGGCTTTCGCCATTAACATTCAAAACAGACATGAATCCTCCTTTCCAGGTCAGACATGAATCACACCCAAAGACTATTATTTATGCAAAGGAAATACCCTTTTTTGAATTAGAAAAGTCGTAAGTAACTCCCAGTTGATACAATACCAACTAAAATTATACCTTTATTGAATGATTTGATTTTTTTTGAAAAAGTTCAATATAGTTGATAATCTAATAAACAGCTCTGTACATTTCACATTAAGCTTATGTACAAATTATCTTGGGTCATAGTTTTGAATCAAGAAATATAATGCACGTTTATCAAACGGTTTTCGCACTCCGATCGGCGATATCAGTGGCCCAATTCATGCTCTATCACTTCAAACGTCATTGCAAAACATTACCTTTTCATTGTAAGTCACTGGAAAGACAACAGAATTAAGTTTCTTCAGCTGTTTGATGTTATGCACCGTTACATCACCAAGCTCACTTCTTGCCTTCCTAAAAAACCCACAAAAAATGATACAAAAAAACATCTATTTAACTAGATCTCTTACCAACACCTTCTCTGATCATTAAGACAACTACTTACGGTTTCATCTTTATAATCTTTACGGAATTTCCTAGATAAAATGGAAGTCAAAATAACGTTTTCCTTCCTCAAGTTTTCTCTACATGTGAACTGTTCGTCTTCACTTCCCGCCAAATAACCACGCATGCGCAACAGCTACATTCAACACCAATCTCCCGATAATTACGCGGACGATCAATCTGATGATACCTGGCACTAATAGGATATCTGCTGTTCATATATACCACAGGCTCCAAGTGCTGTTTTACCAAGTTAAAGTATGGCAAGCCTTGATATAAGACTGAAAAAAATCAACAAAATATTTAATGAAGGGGTAAGAAATCACTAGATTTGTTTAGAGGGAGGACTTAACTTCATGCATTTGTAAAAACTTCGAGATTTAGAGCTATTGGCTTCTTGTAATGAGCTTGGAAAATGTTGTACTGCTTCCTGCTACATCCTCTGAGTCTGGAAATGTCGCCATAAGAAAAGCTTAGAATTTCTGCTTACAATCTTTTTGGTTATTTTCAATGTTATTAAAATTTTAAAAACTTTGTTTTTTCAAGCCAAGCAAATCAGGAATTTTGGGAATTGATGTTGTAACTTTTTTGTTGTTGCATGGAAGTGAGACTAGAACTGACAACTATTAGGGTATTTCAAGAAATAGGTTTTGAATGAGGCATTTATCATTTGTGGGCTGAAAAAATATTTGATTTTTTTGTCGTTTATAATTGTTAAATTTATAATTATTATATTTATAATTATTTATTTTGTTAATATAACAGGATGTTGTGAAAGGTGTGATAGTGGTTCAGAGTAAGGGAGAGCTCAATCATAATGGTATTATGCTCTTCATGGATGGATCTGTCAATCTTCAGCTCAGTGCCAAGAGTGTTGGGGTCTTAGAAGCATTCTATAACTCACTAAAACCTATCCAACTTGTCAACTACTCAGTCGAAATAGCAAAGCCAGGCAAACTATATCCTTTTAACTACTTCAATTGATTTATTTAAACGGTGTCATATTCTCATCTTTTCAAAAATGTGCCATGCTTTAGCCATTTTTCTTCACACCCTATCCTTCCATCAAGTTTCAGTGATAAATAGGGTGTTGGGAAGGGATTTTTTGTGTTTAAAATGCATTTTATTTTTAGTAAACTAAAACTGTTAATTTTCAAGATTTTAGCATAATTCATAATTCAATACCTGCTTGTGCGCATACTGCTGTAGCATTACATACCTTCCACATAGCCTGCTTAGAAGATGAGCACTGGTATATTTTGATTCAAATTGACAGATCTATATATAGTAGAAGATAATATARGTAAGTTGTAGTGCTTGGGAATGAGGTTATTCCGGGTGAAAGCCCTTGGAATTAAATTCGGAAAAATTAATTTCCGACCTCGAGGTCGGAAATTAATTTTTCCGAATTTAATTCCAAGGGCTTTCGCCCGGAATAACCTCGTTCCCAAGCACTACAACTTACTTATATTATCTTCTACTATTTCATTAGTGCCACGYGGTCCACATACTCAGATCTATATATAGATTAATATTGAACAATGCTCTATAATAAACTGAAATACCCTTAACTGACATGTTTACACCCAACGGCAAAACAGAAATTCCATTTGAGATCCCATTAAAACCCAAGGGTAACAGATCCCTGTATGAAACTTATCATGGGGTGTTCGTCAATGTACAGGTAAGTTAAAATGTTCCTATGTTTCTATACAATTTTTTTTATTAAAAAAAAAAAATATATATATATATATATACATACACTCAATAATTGAAGAAACGTAGTATACATTTATACATTTATACAAATACCTAATGAGATGCATATTGCAATTTTACTTTTTTAACCCTCAAAACCAATTGTTTTCTGTTTTGCGTATCATTAAATATACTGAATAAATTAGGTATTTGTATAAATGTATACTACAACCTTTCTGCAATCAAGTGTATGTGAAACTAAGAATATATTGCTGTTTAAAATATACATGTAGAACTATATAGGGTTGCAAGGAAACATGAGGGAAATAAGGAACATAATGTACAAATAGCAAAAGTTTTATTGTTTTTATCTGTTTTCCTCTCGTTTATAATTGATTTATTTTTTCCTGGATTTCAGTATTACTTGAGAAGTGAAATGAAGAGGTCTCTACTGAGCAAAGACCTTCAAACCCAAGCAGAATTCATTGTTGAAAGCAAAGTAAGATTTCTTTGTTAGGTTGAATTGTTCTCAGTATTGTGTTCTTATTTTTTAAAACATTTAATGTAAACCATTTTTTGTGTTGCAGGAAACGTCCAAAGTCAACATGGAACCTGTACAGTTTGCCATCACACCAGATTCCCTGGACAAAATTGAAGATGTAAGATAAACCTTTCTTTACCAACAAAAAGATTATGTTATTCAGATTTAAGACACTGTTAAGGCTGATTTACATGGTATGATTTTCCTCCACTGTGCAAATGACATGAATTGCTTTGTAAAAGCCAACTGTACAACTTCCTTACAACTGTAAACCGCTGCTAACACTTGGGATAGATCCAGGATTTTTTCTAGGGAAGGGGGAGGGGGGTTGAACTATCCAGGATTTTCGTTTTATGAGGGGGTGCAGCTTTTGTTTACAAACTCAAACACCAATAATATGATGGATATCAGCTCATCTATCTAGGGGGTGCATTCCCCCTGTACCCCTCCCCTAGATCTGCCCCTGCAGCAGTTGTGAGGAAAAATCATAAAGAATTTTATATTAATCGGCCTTTACATGTAACAATGACTTTATTGTGCAGCTTGTCTCACAATTTGGCTGTTCAATTGAAACTATGTTACATGTTGAAGTTGTATTGCATGTTGCTGAAAGTGTAAGCATATTTCTTGTTTCCTACGACAAAAAAGTCAGCAGTTACCATTAGACAAGCATATAATTATTATTCTCACACACACATTCTCATGCAATCTATAATGCTCAATTTTTGGGGGAGACAAATTGCACCAAATATCATTGCATGTAAATTAGTGCCTTTGGATATAATGTACATTAACAGTATAACCAAAGTGTACTCTCCATTCTTTGTTTTTTTTAGAGACCTAAAGTCCCCAAGTTTTTAGTCAAAGGCCAGTTAGACACAGTCAACTGCAATATAGTCAAGCCATTTACTGGAGAGGTATGAATAATAATTGCAAGGAATATTCTGTAGTTTTCCTAGATGTTTTAATTGGTGTTTATTTTTCTTACAGTTAACAGTGGTAGAGTCAGACACACCCATCAAATCTATTGAATTACAGCTAGTACGAGTGGAAACATGTGGTATGTAGTCATATTTTATGCATATCATGAAATATATATCTACTGTGAAGTGGGATGGTACCACCCAAGGACCTTAAAGGGGGATACAACCCAACTGACATGAAAAAATCATTCTCCCCTTTGCCCCTGCCCCCAAGCCTCCCTCACAAAAAAATTCCCACACAGGTAACAAACTGCCAATGCAAGGGGGGCTACCCTAGGACCCTCCTCAGATGCTCCATTGCCCTGCAACCAGTTTGTTCATATCCCTCTCCCTACATATAAGAAATTTTGTAAATCAGAGTAATAAAGTCCATATTCATCCAATTTTCTGCAAGAATCATCTAAATTATCCTACATATTTTTTGATTTGATATTATCTCTTACTTGAAATTATCTTTTACTTTGGTCTTTCAGGATGTGCAGAAGGATTCTCAAAAGATGGTAATAATTTGTAAAGCTTTAATGTTTTTGTTGACCTACTTCTTAGAATGATACTGGATAAACTATGGAGTAATTATTGTGTATGTCTGCTTTCAACAGCCACTGAAATTCAAAATATCCAAGTAAGTATTTACACTCAACAAACATCAAAATCATTCTATTTAACAAATATTTTGTTTGGTGTACCTCACAGCTCAGTTTTAGTGCCTTCTTAAGGTGGTATATATCTAGCATAACAAATACTTAACTTAGGAATACCCCTTTATTAATTCTTCTACCCACACATTGTTCTTGGGATTACCCCAGGGCTCAGTTATTGGACCCATTACACAGAATACATTTTTTTAGTGAGGTTTTATTATTCCAATCTTATCAAATGAATGTTTCAGGTCCTTGACCATACATATATGCATATATGTCTTTAGATTGCAGAAGGTGATGTTTGTCGTAAGCTAGCAATTCCAATATATATGACTTTTCCAAGACTGTTCACCTGCCCAACCTTAGCAACACCAAACTTTAAAGTTGGTAAGATGATCTTCTGTAACATAGTAACTGTTGCATTTCGTTCCCTTTGATTTTTGTTTTTGTTCTCATCATCATATATCATTTTAACATTGATTGCCTAATCTTCCAATATGACTTTACCTAATGATTATTTATGGAAGCTTGGTACTCCCTGATAGATCCTAAGTCAAAGTATTATTGTATCAAGCTTCCAGATATATATAGAACTCTGGTTGTGTGCTAACACCAACATTAAAATATGTGTACCCAAATGTCGACTGCACACTGAAGAAGATCTGTGGTCATGGATCGAAACGTCTGTAAAAATGTTTCAAAAATTCTAAGTCAGAGACAAACAGTTCAAGTAATATAATGATTGATAAATTTATAAAATAACTGGGTTCTAACCCGTGTTTGCACTATTATCATTAACATCATTATCATCATCAGCATCAACATCATCACCATCATCATCATCATCATTTTCATCTTTCATCATCATCAACTTAGCCTGCATAGCGATGCTTTGGGGGAGGGGTCCCTTTCCTCACCCCCTCCCCAAAAGTGCAGCTAATGCAGGCTATCATCAACACCATTATTGTCATCATCACCATCAATATCGTCATCATCTTAATATTATTATTAATTTCTTCATCTTCATATTCATCATTATTATTACACCATTATTAATGGTTATCATTAATATTTTTTTCAGAATTTGAAGTCAACATTGTCATTGTGTTACAGGACAACCATCTCATTACTGAAAACTTTCCAATTAAAATAATAAGATTCTAATAGTTAAATTCAATGGAAATATCACAGAACTCGTTTTCTTCATTCTTAGTGAAGATGTTTATGATTTTATATCAAATTATCAACACTTTTTACAAATAAGAAATCAATTATCTCAGATACAAAACACTGTAAAATAATGCAACAGGGCTGTTTCCTGACTGCAGTTACATAGTAGGTTTACCTTACCCTCAACTGAAACAAATGGGAGGTTGGGTATACATTCGTTGCCTTGTGACCGCATAAGGAGTTTAAGGTAACAGTAACCTATAGTATTAACTCAGCAATAACTACAAAATTCTACTCGTTGCTAGAGATGCCTAAACCCCTTTTTATAGATTTGTTCAGTGACCACGAATAAAAGTTCCAAGTTGAGGATGGAGTTTCCGCGCATAGCAAAACTATAGTTTATTGTGCATGGCAACTCTAACTTCGGCCTGGAACTATTATTCATGGTCACTGAATGAAACTGTAAAAAGTTGTATCGTGCGATAAAATAAAAATTGATATACTAGGAGAAATAAAACAGTAAGAAATTCAGTTGAATGATTTTTCAATAGAAACAAGCTATTGTACATTAATTAAACTATTAAATGTACCATTTTTATAATAAATATCAAAAAATAAATATCGAAAACATTTTCTTTATTTCTTCGATAATCTTTTCGCATGATCACCACGACTAGGTCCTTGGTCATCACACGTATGTAACTTCAAGGAAAGAGGATTAAAATCGGAAGTCTAAAAGTCAGATAACTGAATTGTTTTAACAAAAAAGCCCCGCAATTTCGAGAATTGCATATTAGTTGAGCTTTAAATTATAGTTAGAAAATTACCTGAAAAAAATATAGATTATGTAAAGCCGTATTACTTACGTCACAAAACTTAAACCATGCAATTAGAATATACTAGATACGTCATGATGGTCCTATAGAAACGTTTGTAATTGTAATTCGATTTCTCATTAGTAGTAATTATACGACGCTATTGTCTTATCATAATCGAATTTTTAGAGCAATCTTAAAGTTAAAACAACTTGGTTAAGCATTAAAACCGTAACCTAACCCGCCATTATGCGCCAGAAGAAAGAAAAACGACCCTCGACAGGATGGAAGATTCAACCAAAGTATATAGAGAAAGTACTAATTGGAAATTGGTTCGAAGAACGAGAACAGGTAAGTGTGTGCGCGCGCTCTTGAAGCTTGGCGCCAAAATAGTGACGTTGCTGGCGAAAAAAGAAATCGAACCAAAAAAAGATATGTGTTTTTGGCACCAGCAGCGTCTTATAATTTTGTACCTATCGTTACTTTTGTCATCGTCGTGTTTTCTCATAGTTTTAAAATTGTATACCATTTGATATTAATTTTATGGCACTTCTTTCCCCCCGTGTTTTAGTTATATAGAAAACACGTGCTCGGTAGTACTGAAATCGGGCAGTCTGGTTACATCAAACCAATTCCATCTCTTGCCTCAAAGTTTCCCACACGAAAGGAACTGGCATTAAGGAACTGGGTAAGAGTAAAAACGTTTTGGATTCGGCATCTGCTACATTTTCTTGTAACGCGTTTCTTCTCCCAATTTTTCATTTTGTATTTCCCATTCATTTGTTTACCAGGAGGGAATAGGTCGAAGATGTCTTAGCTATAGCGACGAATATAAACCCAACCTGATAACAAGTCACGTTGTTGACTACCAAGAACCTATGCAAACCCCTCCCACTACTATCCGTAAATGGAACTCGCGCAAATCCTTGTGGTTGCCAGAAAAGCTAGATCGACCTGCTGAAGGTACTTTACAGCAATTTCAAGCGAATCATATGAACCAGAGTATGATGCCGAATGCATCCCTTTATATATCTCCTCCGTCAACCCCCAACGACGGCGACGTCAACCGTAAGTGACTTCACTTTGGGGTTTTGCGCCCTCAAAGTCCCTCTTCCCTGTGGATGAGTTGACTTTACTGACAATGTTTTGAATAAAATCTTTAAGAACCCTTAAGATAAATTATTTACGGTTCCGGTTGACGTCGTCGTCGTAGATTGTGCGTGAATCTTTTAAAGATCCCTAATCATCGCAGTCAAAGATTGTGCGCCTATTATTTCTTTCAATCGGGGAAACGGTCACATCAAATGCGTTCTTGTCAAAAATTAAGTCGCTGCGCGGGATAAAAATATAGGAATTTAAATTATGGAGTAGGTTACTAAATCTTGAAAATGATTTTCAATATAGGAATACAGCTTCCAAGACTTCTTAATAGTAAGGTAAGACTCAAACAAAGGATCTTATTTTCAAGTAAATGACACGTTGGTCTGAAATGGGAAAACATTACGAGGTCTTTTATACGACTAATATCTTTTTCACTCATAATTTTTTCATCAAGGTAAATCCAATTTCAAGAAATTTTACCTCACAAAACGAAAACACACCTTCCACCAAAAAGCACGACGACAACCAGTGTCCACCAATAAACATGCCACAAACCTACAAACACGAACCAGTTGTGATCAAGTATAGACACAGAAAATCCGATGTGACACCAATCTTCCCGGTCATCCTAAGAAACACATCCAAGAGACATCTAGTGGTCAAGTGGAACATGTAAAAATACACCAAAACATCTTCTGGTCGAGGTGGAAATGGATTGCTTTTTAATGTTAATCTATCATCTATCTTTCTTCTTCACATCAATTTATAAATGTATATACATAAATAATCACCCATCGAACCTATTTGTGAATCTCAGAAGTGAGACAAAATCTTTCTGGCGGAACGTTAAATAGTAACCTTCAAAAGCCCTTAAATTTTTATTATAAATTACTTAGGGATAACAGAGCTGGGCTGTAATTCATACTATAAAGTGTCATAAACAACATATTATGATCCATATATATTAAATCCATATCGTATCAAAAACAAACACCAACACTAATTATGTTGGAAGCACGTGTAACGCTAGCAATAGAAGGAAATAGCTATAAATCCCAAACTTTTGTTTTGCCCATTTAATCTTACCCCTTCTAATTTTTCTTGGTGCAGATACGTTTATTTGAAAAATAAGTGAGAGTTTTTATCTTGCGCACAAAGCCATCATTTCTCTCGGACGTCGGGTGCAATCACATGGTGTCAGCGCTTACATCACTTAAGAGCATGTACTTCCTCTTTCAACAAGCTATCTTCCAATCGTATTTCATCATCATCGATATCATCACAACTCTCATCACCTAGGCTTGTACCACCATTGTTTTCTTCGATACTGTCTTCATCACAGCTATTCCCATGTTCTTGTTCCACGTGTTCCTGCTCCACGTGTTCTTGCTCCACACAGTCTTCCAGATCTCCCTCGCATTGCGTCAGTCTCCCTGTAGTCGACGCTAGTTCCCAGGTCAAGTCTTCCAGAGTGACACGGTCTTCATTGTCCTGCTCTTTTTTCACTTCACATCGTGAGATGCGCTCCTCACAAGACTGTGCACGTGACGCCACATCGACAATTGCATCATCATCGCTGTCATCATCCGACCAATGCAACTGCGGTGGGTTGGGAGTCAGGGTCAGCGGTGACACGGTTGATACGCGGTGGACGTCGTAGTAATCTCCGGACAACTTCCGAGGGACTGGAGCTGCTTTCAGGAAATCAACGATGCCAAAATCCTGCATATTTTGAACATCTACTTCAATGGAATTTCCTTTCTCCATCACTTTCCTGTCCTCTTTAGCACGATCAATTTCAGTATTATAGCTTGGCTCTTGTACTAGCGGGATAAGAGGAATACCCGCTGCACTACTCTCCTTTCCCTCTGCTTCCTCGGCAGTCACGTCGGTGATAAACACACTTTCACCTGGTTTCCAAACTCCCCTGTTTAGCAACTTGGAGCTGGCATTTTTGGCACTTGAATCTAAGTGCGCACGCTTGGAACTGGTACTAGGTAATGGAGATTTCACTCCTGCCAGAAAAAAGTCCGACAGCCCTGTGTATGTAGGCTTGGGGCTCCAAACACGTGGCGTCCCTGCAGGGGAAACCCCGCGTTGCGCAATCAGTGTCATAAGGTGACTTCCACCTAATGAGTTATGCAAAGATGAACGACTTGGTGCACTTTTGGCGGAAGGAGGTACGATGTCATCGGCGTCTTCTCTGAAGTCTCCATCAGCTGTCATACCCAGGATACTGACTCTTCCTGATCGACTCGCCGCTTTGACACGTGTAGCTGCATTCTCAGCATATCCAGTCTGTTCCTCTACAATACAGGAAGTAGTTTCTTCAGTATTGGTAACATCATCCAACACTTCTTCAATAGCAATCGAAGCTCTGTCATGATAGTTTTGACTTGAAGAGTTTTGACTCGATGAACTCCTCTGCCTAGCAGAGTGTACGCCGATATTCTGAAATATCTCTCGATAGTTGATTCCAAAGTCATCAGTGTTTCGTTCCTCTGATGGCTTATTGTCTTTTGGGGTTGATCTTTTGTGCTCTCCTCTACTGGTTGAGCGAGAGGCAGCTTGTAGTGGGCCACCTTCACGGTGTTTCTTCAATACTAAACGGTCAAGGTATGACATGGATTTGTTAGTTCCAAAGTTGAGGTTGATCTCTGCTAGTTTGAACGAGTCTGGCACCGTGTTTGTTTCACATGAAACAGATGACACTGAAATCAAAGAGAGCCATTTTCTATCACAATGATCCCAGGAGTATATTCTTTGTATATTGAATGTTTGAGTCCTGTCCTAGCAGTATATGTACATGTATCTCGTCTATCTCACCTATCACTCCTATCTCACTCTAGCCCTTAAGAATATGTACATGTATCTCGTCTATCTCACCTATCACTCCTATCTCACTCTAGCCCTTAAGAATATGTACATGTATCTCGTCTATCTCACCTATCACTCCTATCTCACTCTAGCCCTTAAGAATATGTACATGTATCTCGTCTATCTCTWTCTCACCTATCACTTCTATCTCACTCTAGCCCTTAATCTTATAGGGGATGGATCATCATTCTTTATCCCTCATCATAAGGAAGGGCAAGAGTAATAATGTCTCTATCTAAGTTTTACAGCAGTGGGTAACCATATATCATCTGTCAATCCCATGGTGGTTGATATCACTATAGGGGAGGCATCAGGGTAGCCCCAATCAGGGGGAAGGAAGGGTAAGAATACAGCTAAAACTAATGCAACCTTCATCCTTTCAGGAAATGAACAGGGTTAACAATTGATCGTAAAGGCAAAATTACTCCACTAAATATCCATAAATCTATATCTATCTATAAATATTTACTATCAAGATACCTTTGGCATTATCTGCAGGGTTGACCCATGAATTCTCCTTATTCTTTCCTTCCCTCCATGCCCTGAGTGCTTCTTGGAAAGAAGCTGCACTTTCCTTCTCGTCATAAGTGCCTTGTAGAAGTGATCCACCCATCTTCTGCCCTGGGGAGCCTCCATTCTACAGCAACAAAGAAAAAGATATCAACATACTTCTGGGTGCTGAACAAGGCCTATAGAGTGTCAGAACTGACCTGACAACCAGCATGCGCTTTCCTTGAATCTGCTTCCCTTGTTCTGTGAAGACATCAAATTCAATAAACCTTAGAATAATCACATTCTTAAAGATTCCTTACATCAATAGTCTGCCCATAGTCTAATAACTATGGTCTACCTTGTACCCCTTAGACTACACTAAAATGGCTGTGGAGGAAGACTTTACATCAATAACTTGTGCTATATGCTTTACCAGAATCCCCATCACTCCACCTTTAAGGTTTTTTTCAAGGTTTTCCTATTTGTGTTCCCTCCCTCCATAAAGAACAACTCCTAGGTTTACAGTCATTTCGCCCACGGACCATTTCGCCCACGCCAATTCGCCCACGCATAAAATCATCGATCATGCGTTTGCCAATTCGGCCACGCCAATTCGCCCACGTTTAGAATCCCTTTAAGAAATAATATGATGTTACCATGACTAAAAAAAGTAGTTGGTGATTTACCAACTTTACTTGACGCTTAAGCTCAAGACTTCAAAACGCGAACTTTTATACGCCATAACGGACTCGCCTACGCTAACTCGCTAACGAACGAAACAACTTATAAACCAATGTAAATGTCACTTTAKCCTTTTTAAACCTCAGTTGAATTACTTCTAGACTTTTTTATCACTATTAAGCTTACTTGACATAAATACTTCTTAGAACACAAAGTTTTATATATCCGTATTATCCGTCGAAGGACGCCTGACGCCATAGCTTTGTAGTATYATATGCCGCCTAGTCGGTTTCTTAAATTTTACAGCATCTTGAATCGGTTTTTAAACTTTATGTCAAACTTGTTAACCAAACTGTCTTCTTATTTGAGTAGCCATGRTACAAAAAACAGGAAATTCAGCCTTCGCTTCTCGGGCAAATTATTTCAGCGTCTCGAATTCACTGAGTCGTAACAGAGGACGCTGTAAAAACAGCTGTAGGAGATTTCGATAAAAAAGAAAGACAGGTTAATCAGATCCTGCTTGACGGACTTAAACTCGGTTGTTTCATTTATTTACAATTTACTAGTCTTTATGTTCAATGAATTAATCAGTCAATAAGCTTGAACGTGTTGTTAAGAAGTCAGAAACAAAGCGTGGGCGAGTTTGCTTCTGACTTGCCAAGGTTCGAGCTAGAAAAGCCAAAATACCTTTACGCCTATTAAACATCGATCGACAAGCGATGYCATATTGTTTTCGTGTAATCAACAAGCTTCCTAGTCGTTTACTGACGCTTTCTTTACCTAGAATCCATTAGACTTTATTCTTTTCACTAATAAAGTTAAAGGAAAAGATATGGTGCTTTAAAATGGGAGATGTCGTGTGTTGCTGAATCTGACATCTACAAAAAATATGATTTTAGACAAGCTCACGAAAACAATATGGCGTCGTTTGTCGATCGATGTTTCGCGGAAGGTATTAAATAATATTAAATATGTCCTAAACATTCGATTTTTCGATGAAGAAGAAGGATATTGTAATGTTTTCAACAAACTACTCTACGGAGACTAAAAACTTATTGGTAGCGAAAAGACTCGTATGAAACACCGTAAACTGAGCTCGATTGTTCCACTCAATCGTTAACTTTTTGGCGTTTCATCAGATATTAAATGGCCTCAAATTTATTCCAGATAAAGTCGCTAGATCATTTCGTCTTAGTTTTTTAGTGCAAATAATAAAGTCTAATGGATTTCAAGAAAACAAACTGTTAGTAAACGACTAAGGAAAAGCTTGTTGATTACACGAAAACAATATGGCGTCGCTTGTCGATCGATGTTTCGCGCATAAGGTATTTTGTATTTTTCTCGAACTTTGGCAAGTAAAAAATAATAAAGAATGATAAAGCTACCCAAAACACACATTTCATAGGTTAGAGTATAGGGAAATAGGGAAATAAAGTCATCCGAGTCATAAGTTGGTAGAAACGGACTCATATGGCAGCTAAGTGAACGCTGTCCTTGGTCGCGTTTAGATCTCCACTTTCAATATGCTTCAAAATCATTTACAAATGTCTTTCAAGGGACTATGTTTCTTTTTAACAAGTCTTATCRAAGTTTTGTTTTGRTAATTTCCAATGGTAGCGAAAGGACTCCGGGTGGTAGCGAACCGACGGTAGCGAAAGTGCGTGGTAGCGAAACGACCGGTATTCGTATAAAAAGTTCGCGTTTTGAAGTCTTGAGCTTAAGCGTCAAGTAGGGTTGGTAGGTACTTTTTTTTAGTCATGGTAACGTATTTCTTAAAGTGATTCTACACGTGGGCGAATTGGCAAACGCATGATCGATGATTTTATGCGTGGGCGAATTGGCGTGGGCGAAATGGTCCGTGGGCGAAATGACTGGTTACCAACTCCTAAATACCAATTGGAGTCTAGTGGATGAAGAGCCACTCTATGGAATCCACTTTTAAATACAATTTTTATTTTTATCAGTATTTTGATCATTAAATGAAGAAATTACCTCTTGGTTGCTGATTCACTTATCCTTCCTTTTTCTTCAGGAAAACCACTGTTAAACTGGAGGAAAAAGTATTGAAAATAACATCATTTAAAGATTATACTTATTCATTTGTCTCACAATTGTGGCACTTGTGTGTACCACCTATATATAACTGACACAATTCTGAGACAAGCAAGAGTATAGTCTTTGATTTTTATCCATGATGAATAATCTTTTCCATTTAAAAAACATTGTTTTTTGCCATAAACATTGAAACTAGCAAAAATACAAATATTAGTCAAGACATCAACCAATAATTAAAAGAAATTTTGTTTAAACTTTATAAAGTACATTAATATCTTTTGTATCAACCATTTCCCAAAGTTTTTTTCTTCATTTCTCCTGGTTTTTCCACTAGAATCAGAACATTAACGTACCTGATCAAGGTTTTTGGTTTGGTGATTTCTCAATGCACCTTTCCTATGGAATGACATGAAGCATCCAACACAGTAGTTTTCTGAACACTCCACACAAGCCTGTAAGATCAAAATAATATTGTATGATGCAATATATCTACCCTGAGTGTCAGTCAAGTTTCAAAGACTATCTTATTCAACAAGGAGCAACAGGACTAAAAACAACAGCCAGTCAAGGGAGAATGTCCAGCCAAAATTGGCACCTATCTGGCCAAAGACCTCTCAGGCTGATCCTCTTGACTGGTCACATGTTGATGCCAGTTATCACTTCCAGCCATTAGACAGCTATTAAATTTAGCATGGATAAAAAGTTTTCCAGCCCACAATGAATAATTCATTTTTCCTACATTTAAAATACTAACCAAAGTAGCCTTTGCTTTCTCACACTGGCCACACTGCATATCATTTCCGAAACTTTCTCTCAAGCTTTCCTTTATTATATTCTTCTTGGTATATGTTGCTATAAGTTTTCAAAAAAAATTTATTTAGTAAGTATAGCAATGAAAGGAGAAGAAAGGCACAATATATTCAGTCAAAAGCTTCACCCTCTACCCCCAGGGAATAGAAGTACTTATTGACTTTTGATAACTTACTCAGAGGTTCATCTGAAAGAAGCTTGATCTTTCTTGATCCCTGCAAATTAGAACAAGATAAGAAATTAAAGATTTGAATTATGTTTCTTCAAGCATATCTTTCTCAGAAAAAAATTCTTAAAATCTTTATTACCTATCCAAGCCGCAAAAACGCCTTAGGTAAGAAACTGTTTAATATCAAAGTTTTCAAAAAATAACACTGGAAATTGATTGAGGGAAGTTATACATATCCTTATGACACTAGAGATTGACTGGCATCATTTATCTCTCGATTACCTTTTCAGACTTGCTTGTTTTTTTCTTGGTAGCCTGTTGAGAATTAGAGGGTGCTGGTCCACCTTTGTTTGATGACATCCATCTTGTTCCTCCATATTTTCTTCAACAAAAATTTCAAAATAATTACTCTGGGTACTCTATTTATTTTCTTATTGGGAGGCTAAGATTTCATATTGTAGTGGATATCTCTCTCTAAAACCCATTCCCCAGCCTGTCCCTCCATGGTCTCTGTTTTGACCCCGGGGGGGGGGGGGGGGGGACCCCCCCTTTTTTTGCTATACTCTGGAACAGGGTACACAAAATCATGCTCGCTCTGGGACAGAGTATATGAAATCATGCTCTCTCCTCTCTGGAACAGGGTATCCATTTTCGCAATACTGGAACAGGTTATGATTTTCAGCGATCTTTGTCTGAAACAGGGTATGAATTTCAGCGATTTTACTCTGGAACAGGGTCAGGGTTCAGTGGGCTCAGCGGCACATCCCTACCCTAAACAGGCAAGAGTACCCCCCTGGGTGTTTTGACCACCCAACAATATAACAAGAGCCTTAACCATAGTAGGTAGTCACACTTACTCTCTTTCTTCCTTTTCTTTTACCATTTGTTCTTTCAAAGCTCGTATCCTCTCTTCCATTCGTTTTGTTTCTAGTTCGAGCTGCTCTGCTGTACTCTGCTTAAGTTTGCTTGCAGCACTAAAAGATCACATCATATATTTTAGTATGTAAATTAGAATTAAAGATGAGAAATAAAAAAAAGTAAAGTTGGTAAGATTATAAAAATATCAAACGTTTACCGTACTAGATTCTACCTTTGAAAACAGAAAATTAAATACTAGTAATACTTTTGAAGATTTTGCTCTAGTTTAGCCTCAAAGTAAAATTAATATTATCTACTACTCCAAAGGAATCTTCATATCCTGATAAAGTATTTCTTTCATATACTAAAATAATTTTAGATAAAAAAATGAAACTCGACAATCGAGAGTCAAGTCCTTTGTTTTTGTAATAAGCTTGACAGAATATAAACACTCTTTATTATTACGAGTAATATGCCCGAATACTAAAACTATTCATTCCAAGATATCAAATAAAGTAGAATAAACCTTTTAGTACGAGATCTAAACAAGCAATGATATTTATCTTCATCCAATTTATAGCGAAAATATTTGTAATGTTCGTAATTTAAATTTTGTCATTTGAGTGTTTTTTCATTCAACTTGAATATTACTTACTTTTTTCTCAGTCTAGAATGTGCTGGATCAAACGACATACTGGAGCCAATAGTCATAACAATCTTTAGGCTCTAAAGTTGTAAGAAGAAGGGGAAAAAGCTTGAAATTCCGTTGAAAATCCTTCTTTGCTGTTAATCTTCAATATTTGTTATGGCCGCCCTTTCTGGCTGAGATCACGTGGCCTGTTTCTAAATGTTGACGCTCCATGGCAACCATACTTCCTACTGATTTACATACGGATTACGGTTCAAATTGCCTTCTTTCAATTTCTAATCGTTCAAGAAAAATATTTATTTTTTATTGATTAATCAATAAGATGAAGCAGAATAACTATTTCGCTTTAAAAAAGAAAGTTTTTTCTTTCTTTTTTCTTTTTCTTCATCTTTTGAAATGCTCTCTCCAGTCCTCTCTTTTCCTTTCACACGGACAACTTGACGTCAGAATTTTAATCAATAGTTACTGCTGCAATAATTCTGTAGGAACTCAAAAACACATTAACTACCGGTGAAAAGTATAACTACAATGTCCCGAGAAAACCAGATTCATCAAGCAGTGTAAAAATGATTGACGCGTTGGTCCGGGAACTTTTTTCGTGTGGAATTGTGAATGAAAATTGCTAAAAGAAATACAATGAACAGATGAATTCACTTTTATTTCACCGGCTTGCTTCGATGGAGATCTGCCTTCAGGATATACGGTAATCTTCGGCTAACAGCGATTCTCGTGTTTAATATTTAGTATTTTAGAGATTATATCCATGCACAATGTGGAAAACCTTTGGAGTTTCGACTGTTGTCTTCACAACTGCGGAAGGAATGGGATTATTGGAGAAAAACACAGACAAGAAACTGAGTACAGGACACACTATCGAAAGTTTGAATTTATTAATTATGGCTTTTTTGCTGAGCTTAACTGTATTAACTCGGTGGATTACAATGAAGCGTCGTTTTTGGTACATACACTACGCTGGCTTAGCCCTCATCTACGGTAAGTACTATATATGTGATATACTTATGGAACAAGTGTAAATACGGTAGGTTTGTTAGACTATGTTACCGGATGTTTGCGTTCATATTATGAGTGGTTTGCATTTAATAGATTTGCTACATTTTATCTTTATCTTTGGGCTCCCTGTCTTGATATTAAGAAAGGAAAACACAAAATCCAGCCTTTGATTTTATATATTATATTCTTGACGTCGCTGGCCTAGTCTCCTTTGCAGCCGTTCTTATCCGAAACGCTTCCCTCGAGTGAGTATCTAGCCTCCGTTCTGCAACGGAGGCTAGGGAGTATCGGACCGACACTAAGGCTACGTTCATAATGTATGGCGGGGGGGGGGGGGGGGGGGGGGAAGGGGGGCAGGTAAAATTGAGGGGGGATCGGGAAAAGAGTTAGGTAGGAAATAGGTTGGATGGGCAAATTTTTATCAGAAAAAATGGGGGGACGGGATGCACAATTGTTGGAAGAAACTACAAGCCTTGCTTCGGGGGGACCGTATTTTTTTTGCATGACTTTAAGAAGGGGGTCGTTAAGAATTATTCTGAACATTTCAAATTTTCACCTGCCCCCCCCCCTCCCTCTTCCATAAATTATGAACGCAGCCTTAAAACGGCTACTGAGCCGCTACTATACTGGGAAGACTATCGATCCCCAAACTTTGATCAAATGGAATTTTTCAGGGGTCAGTTGGACTGAAACTATGACGTCATTGCGTATCAGTTCTAACCATTTTCACTGCAAGGTCTTGAAATGGCTTCGCAACTAATGACAAATCAAGCATATCATAGTATAGTCGGAAAATATGATAAATTGATGCCTTTGAAATAACAGCAGCTAGTTGACCCGAAACTTCATACATATCATACCACTAAGGACACGAGTGGGAACCCTTGAAGTACATGAGCGAGAGTCTGGGACTGTAGCTTTCCAATGCCAACCAACATGGCTGACAGGATCAAGTTCCTTGTTCAGATCTTGCTTGGTCTTATGGCATATATCGGCAAAACACAAGCCGAGATGGATAATGAAAAGAAAGTAGAAGAAGAGGCTTCAAAGCGAGAATCCAGATACACTAAACTAGACACTGGTCTTTTGCTATTGGTGATGGTGCTTCTCATCGCCACCGTCTTGACAGTCTGGTTGTTTAAAGTCAAAAGGTTCCGTTTTCTCCACGAGACCGGTGTCTGCATGATCTATGGTAAGGCAGCAACTAAAATACCTCGAGGTTGACTCGTCTATTGCCTTGGCGAAGCCCCTTGGCTGCTCGAAATACAGAAACGAGTAGACTATCATGTTTTTCCTTGATTTGACCCATTCAAAATTCTACAAATACTTCACATGTATTTTATAAGTATTCTCTAAGACTCTATACAGAGTCGTAATATCGAGTTGTGACTCTCCAAAATAGTTGCTGGATAAATCAATGCAAGATAGACCTCTCCATAAATGATTTCTATCGTGCTATTGGATATTAAACGGTATTTCCCAGACATCCGTGGTCATGTAAGGTTATACTTACGTATAGTACCTTACTGTGACGTCTCGAAATGGCTAGACTCGCGTGATGTTTAGATAAAGTTCGAAGATCGCGCCTTTTGTCCAGTTCCTTTTATATTATATGGTATTTTATATAGAGTTAGATAATAGCATAAGAAAAATGGAATTTACTCATACTTGCCTTAATTTTGATGTAGACCAACTCTGAAATACTTTGATGTTTTTGGAATAAGTTTTGTTGTAGAGCTTAGTATTTTAATTACCATATGTGTAAGGATTTGAAGTGGGTTGCAGTAGGGGTGGGTAAAGATTAGACTTTCTAAAAGTCCTCTGCTCTCTTTTCTAACTGGTGGGATTGAGTACTTTTTATCTCTACTTTGCGCCGAATTTTCTGATGGGTTTTTCAGGGTGCAAATAAATTATATATTTATTTAAAGGCTTTAATCACGCTTTAGTTGTAACAACAAAAGAGAAACAAAAAAAATGAAATACTTAAGCAAACAAGCGTAATGAGGGGCGGGCAAAGGGACTTGAGGTCCTGGCAAGGCATGCCCCCAAATTATATCAAACAGCCAATATGAACATTTTTGATGTGAAACGGAAATCCAATCGGAATCGGAAATTGCAGCATAGGGAAACAAGTCGCTCACTTGTGACTCCGTTGCTCATAATATGCTTTCTCTTCGACAAATTCTCTGTCCATGGGCATGGAGATGAAAAAAGTGGATGACTTGTAGCAAATCTAGGTAAAGATGTGTTAGAAGGAAGACTGATTTGTCATTTCATTTGTCAGGGGCACAAACTAGCCATAAAACTTTAAAAGGGAAAATGAACTAATAAATAATTATTTTCTTCCTTTTTTTACAGGAATGGTAATAGGTTGTGTTATAAAATATGCTGGTGGTATCCACAAGAAAGCCTATCCCGTAAACTGCACAATACCATCACCTGAGGAGACTATTTGGGTTACGGTTGACAATGGAAGCACATACTCCTACACACTTAATGGACGGTTATCTAAAACCAAAAGTGCAGGCGAACTGGAGCAAAAGGTATGATACTATTGCTGGGCTGCAAGCATTTCCCAAGAGAGGCAAAAAAAAAACAACATAGTGGCCATCTTGGTGCAATTAACAATGGATGCTAATGAAAAAACTTTTGTTAAATGGCACCAACATGGCTGCAATGACAGGTAAACTGGAGCAAAAGACATGATTACTATTGCTGGGTTGCAAGTAATCCCAAGAGTGAAGCAAAAAAATAAAAACATAGTTGCCATATTGATGCAATTAACAATGGGTACTAATGAGAAAACTTTTGTTAAATGGTACCAACTTGGTTCTAATAACATGTAAAAGTAGAAGCTTTTTCTACTCTTTGCAACAAAGGTAATTTTGTTAGGACAATATGGTAATGGAACAATGCTTGCCCTTGACTTGCAATTTAAGAGCATTTTTGTTCACGACTGTTACTCAGACCAGTACCTCGTACCTGAGTATTTTTTCTTTGTTTCTGCAGGCTGTGTTTGATCCAGAAATCTTCTTTTATGTGCTTTTACCTCCAATTATATTCTATGCAGGATATGATATGAAAAAGGTCAGCTTTAAAACACTTAAATCCTAATTCTACCTCAAGTTCATATTCAAACAATAGAGTTCATTGTATTGGTGTGATAGCAAGAACATTCCACTTTTCACTGATTTCATTGCTATGCGTCACTGTCAGACACAAGTGTAGACTTCTAAGCCAGCAAATAGTCTTCCATCAATTATAAATATCAAACATACCCAATACAGCTTCTTTTAATGTCTGACTACCAAGTGCTAAGTACAAAATATTGAGACATTATTTACATATTTACCATGTAATAAAAGCAGTGGTAAATTAGCTTGTTTTTTTCCCCTAGCGTTTCTTTTTTAGGAATATTGGAGCAATCCTAGCATATGCATTTGCTGGAACAACAATATCTTGTGGTGTGTTTGGGTAAGTTGATGCCATACAATTTAATACACCAATCCTGGCTATGCTTGAGTGCCCATCCCAATGAAATACAGAATGTCTGACCAACAAACTTGAATTCATAAGATTTGTTTAGGAGTTATCCATTTTTTTCTTAATGTACCTTGAGAATGCATTGATTCTAAGACAGATTTACAGTTTTGAGCAATATTCTTTATGACATTGTTGCTATAGGTTGACAGTTTATGCATATAAGATGATATTCAACCGTTATAAAGACTTTGACTTCCTGGAATGTTTGTTGTTTGGTTCTCTTATATCAGCAACAGATCCTGGTAAGTTTAGTTCCTTTTCCAGATTTTGCACCCATATACTCTGATACTGCAAACCTTTGTATGATCAAGTAGTGATAACTAGTAGAATACTAACATGGACTGTGTCAATGTTTCTGAATAAAACAGCAGAAACTTGTGGATAAATTGAATCACCGTAAAAAGCTTTGTGAAACTGACTTTTCAGACGTTAGTCCTTCGTTGGAGTATGATCACTTGAATTGGTAGAGAAAGAGAATAGGCTCAAATGTATAACTTGTTCTCTTTGTAAAACAGTGACAGTGTTGGCCATCTTTCATGATTTACATGTTGATGTTGATCTTTATGCATTGGTGTTTGGAGAAAGTGTGATGAATGATGCAGTAGCCATTGTGCTGTTCAGGTGTGTTAAATTGATAATTAATTGATATTATTATTTATCCTCCTTTATTCATTCATTCACCCATTCATTTATTTCAGAGAAAGAACAAAATTACGTTATTAGTTATAAAAAGATATAACCAGCTAAAAACTAGTGTGAGCTGCGTCTGTGTTTCTAATGAAACAGTAATGACGAAAAGGTAAATTATACACCGTGAAAAGATGAAAAAAATTACTGCCGTTTCGGACACTAGTCCTTCGTCGTTTTTTCATCTTTTCACGGTGTATAATTTACCTTTTCATCATTACGTTATTAGTTGGTATGGAAGAAAATTGGAATTTCCAGGGTTAGGAGGGAGGTCTTTAAAAAATTCCTTCACAGAGGGGAGTATGGATAATTTCTTGGACTACACATATTTATTATTTTACTTCCATTGCAGATCAGTAGAGTCGTACTTACTTGACAGTACAGGCGGGGAGTTCCAGATTGACAGGTTCTTTGGATCAGTTGGTATTTTTATTGGAGTTTTCTCAGGTTCTTTTTTCCTTGGTTTTGCAATGGGTTTAGTCACAGCACTTGTATCCTTTACTTTGCCTTTCATCAAACACTCTACTATTGCAGCTTTCATGCAAAGTCACCATTGGATTATAAACTTATAGTTTTGAACAAAATACAGCATCCTTGAGTATGATGCGAACTCGGTAGCTGCAAGCCAAACAAATTAAACTTGTTTTTTTACTTCTGTCAATAAAAAATAATAAGTTGTTACCTTACCTATTTTTTTACTAGTAGCAATGAAAACAAAATTCCAATAAGGAACTTACAAGTAAAGTTTTTGCATGATATGAAAAAAACTCTGTAAGATTTCTACCCCCCACACCTCCCTTCCCACTCCTAACATACAGTAAATCTGTTGTTCAAAGGTAGCAAAGTATTGCTTCATCCCCATTCTAAGCCCTAGATAAATTTTATAGCCCTTGAAGAAACCATTATAAGCATCCTAGCAAGTCTGATACATATTCCTTGACTCTAACAAATATATAGACAACAAAATTGACAAATCTATCTGAATTTCCTATGTTGGAAACAGCATTATTCTTTCTATTATCTTGGTCAACTTTCTTAATGGCTGAAGCTGCAGGACTTACTGGTATGTATAGAATATTTAACAATAAAGCTTTACATCCTTGGAAAAGTAAAAACCACAGGAAGCCCATCACCCGTGACAGAAGCATCTGATAATTTTTAATTTTATTTTTTGACACAGGCATAGTAGCAGTTCTGTTTTGTGGTATCTCACAGGCTCATTATACCTATAATAATCTTTCTGATGAATCCAAGCATAACACCAAACAAGTAAGAAATATGGGAAATTTTTATTTAATTTGACCTCTGCTCTGCTCTGCTCTGCTCTGCTCTGCTCTGCTCTGCTCTGCTCTGCTCTGCTCT